TGCATACTAAACGTTTTCAGACTCAAAAGAAGTGTATACTGCTAATTTTAGGGAAAAGGTGCGAAATCTGACAAAACCGTTTAAATAATTTTGCTTTTTTTTGTGGGAGGGGTTCTCAAGAGACCAGTCTTAATTCAAGTCTGTGCTTGGCTTGTCCCAATGTCATACTATGACTACCATAAACAGGCCACAGGCTTGAAGCAAATCTACTGACATAATTGTTTTCAAAAGAAAAAATTCTTTACAAAAAAAGGGTTAATTTTTAATAATTTGGTTTATCTTCGACATGGGCAAATGCTGCCACATTCCATATATATGTTTTTCCTGAAAAAAAAATGGACATAACAATTAAATGTAATGATTTCAAATATTCACATCTTGGGCTTTGACAAGACTGCTCACATTCTGAGAGATATTCACGTGAAAGTCACATGATGTGGAGCACATGAGGTTTACATATGAAGCACATGAGGTTCACACGTGAAGCACATATGAGGTTCACATTTGGAAACACATGAGGTTTACACGTGGAGCACATGAGGCTTACACGTGGAGCACATGAGGTTCACATGTAGAGCACATGAGGTTCAGGTGAGGTGCACATGAGGTTCATGTGAGGTGCACATGAGGTTGAGATACGACACTCAATGAGGATCACGTGAGACCTTTCAAATACCTCCAAGAATGTGAGTGCAGCCCAAAGTATGCGCTGTAAAAAGCAAAACAAGGATTTGTCCAAAACTTCTTATTTTGTCGGGGAATCCCAACCCTTCAAACAGTACTGTTTAAAAGACAACTTGGAATACATCTGTAGTGAAAATGGGGCATTAAAAAGGAGGCTACTGAATACGAGGTTCTGGTAAGTGGTTATTGTATTACATAGGAGACTAAATGACTAGGCATACATTGAAATGGGTTACGAGGTTACAAATACGAGGTTACTAGCAGCTACTGAATAATTGGAAAAAACACAACGCCACATGTAGCTGTTATTAAATATTCAGACTAAACTCATACAATAGCATATATGGTTCTATTGCTACGTAGTTTCTTTTAAAACCATTCACCAGTCATTGCATATTCTTTGCCATTCAAATGAAAATCATTTTATAATTTGTACACGTAAAATTCTGAAAGGATATTCCTTAAAATACAATTAACGAGCGTTTATTTTTTAAAACTGTACAATAGGTAATAATATTCATATAGTCAACTTTTCTCTTCAATATTCAGTGAAAGATTATAATGCAAGAAACACCGCACAGTCATAGGCCATGTCGTAAATATTCAGAAGGTAAAATACATATTCATAAGATAATTTCACATTCATGAAGTTGATACATATTCATGAACAGCTACATGTACATAAAGACAGTGATAACTTTTTCTTTTGTACTGACTAAACGCGGTAATATTAAATGCAGGAAAGTAGCATGTTGATGTACAATTCAATTTACTTACATTTATATTATGGCTTTTATATATAAAATGTTAAAATATACCTAAACGGTAAAAAGTGACATCTCTTCTAACATCTAAGTTCTATTCTTATACTGTGCTAATGATATTAGCAATATATTACTTTCTACATTCAATATAAGCTAATTTTTAAAATAATTTCTACAGCTACTTCGTGGAATCATTTTTGTAGGCAACGTGGAAACCCATAGTCTTTTACATAACACTTGGGCACCTTTATATGTTAATAACAACATTTAAATAGACATTTAAGATGAACACACATCAGAACTCCCCTTTTGTGCACAATGGAATCTTCCCACTCATTCATAACAATGGATTCTTCCATTTTGTGTAGGGTAGGTAGGTGAGTTCAACGAGGGTGAGTCAATTCCACGGAGCTGCTAAGCTGAAAAATTTGCTAAGCACAAGTTACCGGTTACCAGCCAAAAACTCACGCACTATATATTGCATTTGACCGGTTCCCAACCGATTCATGCTTACCGCAAACAAATCTACAAAGTGATATTCTTCTGCTTATCAATTCCATGAAATTGAAACCCACGGTTAGACAAAAAAATTGGAAAAATAAAGTGTAAGAACCCGCACTCAAAAATTACACATTACATTTGAATACAATATCACAGTATGTATTGCCAAGGAAAATGTATTTTTTTATCTTTTAAAATGTACAATATATCGGGTCACAGATACGCAAAAACGTTTTCATCATCAATATCAAACACTCGTGAAACTTGTGATGCTTAAAAAAATTGTTATTTCAAAACAAACAAAAAGCGAAATAGACAACACTTTTGTTATGCCAACCAAAAAATGCTACCAGCTGCAAAAAGTGTGTGTATGTACAAAAATGAAAAATGAAAAAAAAAAAAAAAAAAAAAAAAAAAAAAAATGCATTCAATTCCAAATGTTTTTAAGGGCATCTAGCATTCCTACTTGGTCCTGGATTCCTAGTTGGGCATGGGCAGGCTGGCAGAAAGTGGGAGGAGCAATTGTAGGAAGAGGGGAGGGGTGTTCATAGGCATGTATCTTTTTTTCCTTTTTTGGCTGATAGTGCTGAAAAGTGTGTTTTAAGACAGTTTTATGACGATCCGCATAAATTGCATGTGCTCAGAGGCGAGTGGTTTTTTTTGGGGGGGGGGTAGGGTGGGGATTGACTTTAAGATCCTGAATTAAAAAGTTTCAGCCAATTGTTAAATTATTCGAGCACAGCTCAAAAGCTACTGGATATGCATGTTTTTTGGTCAGGATTTGCTGTTAGAACTAATTAGAACTAAATCTAGAACTAATTAGAACTAAATCTAAATAATAAAAACAAACAGACTCTGCATTGCGAAGACCTGCTCCCTTTCTGACAATAATTTGTGACAAAAAAAAGTGATTACAAAAAAGAAAAAAAAAGAAGACTACTGACATATCCTCCAGGCTGGAGGGGAAGTCTATTTCAGGATTTCGTTGACTGATTATGGGTCCCAAATATGGAATAAATGAATGAAAAATAATGAGTGGAATATATGCTTCCCCATATACTTCTCTCGGGAAAATATGTCCTGGTATATAGAAATTACAAAAAATATGACATAACAAAATTATGATGCGAAACATGAGGGAATGTTTATGAATGCAAAATGCAATAAGGTTTTTTAAAGCAATCATAGAAACTGGTTTTCCCAAACGATATCTGGAACGTTTTGGTCTTTTTAAGTTCTTGTGTTTTAGTAGTGCTCCCCTCTTTTGGATGTTAACAGAATTTATTCCAAACAGTACTGCAAATTTCTGGGAATTGTTCTCATGCTATTTAACAGAGACATAGATATTTGGTGCAAAATATGCAAGAACAATTAATTTTAAGCGTTTCTTACAGCAAGGATAAAAAAAAAGGAATTAAAGAAGGAAATATTTCTGGATTTTCGATAACTCCGAATAATCTATGTTCAAATAATCTGTGACCTATATGCAAGTCTCCACTGGCCATGAATAAATGAATAAATTTCAATGAATATACATATATTATAAAGTGGAAAAACTCGGAATGCAAAACAGTGCTTTTTTTGTAAGCAGTTTAGAACATATTTAAACCTTTTTCTCTCTCTCTACATATAAATGTTTATGTATTATACATGCACAAATAGGTTTTTTTTTTGAAAGACGTGAAAAAACAGCAAAACAAAATCTGTACACTTATTCCGATGTGACCGTAACTTTCTCAAAAACCATTTTTCCTCACTTTCGCAACCTTTTGCACTCTTGGTGGGTTAACTTCAACATATACTCCGGAAATTTTTTTATCACTCTTTTGTTTTTCTTCAATGCCGTAGTTCTCCTAACAATAAAAAGGCAAAACAGTGCACAATATTGTATTGCAATATTTCAAAAATTCTCGACTATATACTTCAAGGAAAATGATACATGTAACCTTACATAAGTATTAATTTATTTTTTTAATAACTATTTTATTTTTTATATAATGCCTTTTAAAAAAAAATTCTTGATTACATGTCTGACCGTGATTGGACAGTTTAAAAAAAATTTGAATATCATGCATAATGAATATGTATGGAACACGGTGCTTTACTATAGTTTTAATATTTACAATATGGGAAAGATTAGTAGATTGAGCTTTTTTCGCGGTGTCAATTAAAATTTAGCATGCAGCAGGATTCAGGAATTGATATAGACGATCTTTGAACACTTTTTTGAATTGCAATTTTTTGTGTGTGAATTGCTTCAAAGAAAAAAGTGGAGATTTGTTGGCCTATTGCAAGTGTGTTAGTGAAATATGTCAATCCCTCTTCCGATGACACATAAATTCTCCCTACTGTCGGCTGAGGGGGTTGTGTGGGCCTTTCAATGTGGAAGTAAGGAGATTTCAGGGTACGCTAACAGTGACCTGCTGACGAAATGAATATTATCTCCATATAGATGTAACCACTTTCAAATTTGCAACTTTCCCATACCACTATACTCCGATTATATTTCAATATTATAAACTTGGCTCACATTTTCACTCCCTGTCCAAATTCATCTGGTGCCCGCGATGTGCTGTCACAAGGATCTTCACCGACGAACCCAGGGGACATGACCAACATGGCCGCTGTGAAAGACTTTTTCAATGCCGGCTTGGCAACTTCGTGTCACTCTTTGGAATGCTTGAAGCTAGGTGACCCATCAAATTTCCATGTCAAAACCGATAGCCAACTGCGATTATTTATCCGCAAATCTAGTGCTGTATTCGTGAGACATGCCTATAGCCCGTGACAATAGTTTTTTTGTGGGCATGGCCAAATGTCACAGAGGTGCGTTGAAGATGAAATCGTTCAGCACATTTCAATTCTCATCAAAATTTGAATCTGAGAACTAAATAAGGCTTGTGACAATGAAGTTTTACCGCTAGTCGCAGTTGAGACGCTCCGACGTTCACATGTACCTCCAGACCCTTGATGGCAATACGTGCTCTGCACAGCGCCCTCTTGTGATGAGACCCAGCAAACCGGCAGGCCGTTTCTACTTCATTTTGTTAAAATTTCAATGCAACTGCAAATGAGTGGTAAGTTTGCTGCGGGTGCAAAGGGCGCCCTCAGTCGAGTGTGCTCAGAGATGATAGAAGTGTATATGATCACCAGTGGCATCCTCCAACAAGTGGAACATGGCAAAGTTGGGCTTCCAAGAGTTCTGATTCCTAGTGTGGACATTTGTAAAAGGCAGGGTTTGGGATTAGGCTAGGAGGCCCTCTAGTGATGATGAAGTTGCAGTCTTTTGGATTTGTACTCGGACATCACAGAACAGCCCTCTAGTGACAAAAAACTGTCCAGTAGGGTTTTGGAGGTTAGGCTGCGTGTCCGAAACAGGCTTCCGGAGCTACGGTTTTGCCTATCGCCGGTTTGTTCCCACGAAGCGAAGACCTGGACAATGGCTTCAGACAAGCGCTTCGGACCCTGCTCAAGTTAGTATGAGGAAGGCACCTCAGGGTGCCCTCTTAAGACAATACTGAAACAGTCCTCATGGCGTGTTCGAGTGGAGGGGGGGGGGGCTGTGAAACTTGGTTGTAACCAATGAAATCACAGATTTTTATCTTCTCGTTACAAAACACAAAATGGTCATCGTAAAGCGTTTGCGAGTAAAGCGTTTGCAAGAGAAAGGGACGTTCAGAGTGCACCTTCTTTTGACTATTAACGACTCCTTTTGGGTTTATCTTTTTGTTGGGGGAGGGGGGGGGGAGAGGGGAAGAAGGAATCAGGGGTTATTTAGCACTAGCCAGGGAAGTCATGGAGCCCTCTAGTGACGATATGGACGCTCGGTGGCCGTGCAGTTCCGATATTGAGGAGGTGTTGAAGAGCTTGTAGTAGCCTATACTGGGATGGGACAGGTCCAGGTCATCTAGCATGATCTGGGCGACACCCATGAAGACCTTACGCTCCATGCGGCCGTAGTCCGCCCACACCGTGATCTGAAATTGAAAAAAAAAAAAGGCAGTGTATTAAGAAAAATGAGTTCACTAGAAAATACCAGCAAAGTGATAGGGAACCCTAGCTCTTTGGGAGAGAGTGTTACGTATTTGTTCATCTTTTTTTTAGAGTTGTGATCTGATACACTGTGCCCTCTGGAGACATGCACACAATAGGGAACAAAAGATTGCATACGTCTCCACAGGGCAATTTCTATAGATGAAAACGTCTCCACAAGGTTTTCACGAAATAGATATATGGATTTTACTAAATAACTAGGAATTTCCAAGGTGGGTTGATTTGTCGCAAATGGAAGAGTTTTGGAAAAGGGATATTAAGTCTGACTTTCTGCCAAGGAAATTAATTCTGATTAAAATAAGAGCATTTTGAAACTACACTTTCAAACTCGAAAACTTTACTACACGAGAACAAAGAAACTGCTCCACAAGGATACAAATTTCAGTATGTGTGTTCCCCATACCTTTCAACAAATTCATTTTTTTTTCGGTTAAAAGAATTTTTATTATTTTGGTTTCAGGCCCAAACAGATCCACTTTGCCAATAGACTGGCTCCCGGTCCATACATTACTCATACTGATTGTGAGGCAGGAACCAGCTTAGCCAGCGAGCATGAAATCATTGTCTGGCAGCCAATAATTCAAAGTTGTAAAAATTAAATAACTCAAGACTTGAACCGATGTTTTTTTGGTCGATGTCAAATTCAATAGTGAACAACTTTCGTGTTGTTACAAAAATAGCAATTTAGAGAAGGAATCTATTATTTTGGATTAAACTAAAAAAAATAGAACAGGAATGTAACTTTAGGCCCTTTGCGGCTTTTTTGGTATGTTAAACTCATCACACACAATAATGCTTCATGCATTTGTCGTCCTTTTTCTGTCATTTGTATGGGGGGGGGGAACCTTGGAACCCCCTGACTTTCCAACTGGGATCTTCAGACCATGTCCTTTACCTGGAGTATTTTGTTGTGGTAGTCCTCCTCAAACTGTAGCACCTGTTGGTAGAGTGGGTCCAGGGTCCGGCGAGCTATCTTAGTCTTCTTCTTGCCCACGCAACGCTTGCCTTCCATTAGGTAGACCTTGACATAGGGAGCTGAAAAATAACAATGGCGACCAATGAGAATAGGGTAATTTTGTACAACTAAATCTGAAACCTCCGAAAATGACGCAACCTTTTGGATTTCACGATAGTTGAACTCCATGAGCAACATGAAGCTCTGTAGTGCGTAATTGATGCTTATTTCAAGCAGTAAACTACTCCAATCTGGGCCCAATTTCATAGAGCTGCTTAAGCAGAAAATTTGCTTAAGCACGAAAAAACATTGCTTAGTAAAATTAGGCTACCGGCCAAAACTCCATGTGATGTACATTGCTTGTGACTGGTATTTAGCTGTTGTTTATAACAATTGCATGGAGTTTTGGCCGGTAACCTGATTTTATTAAGCAAGACGTTTTTGTGCTTAAGCAAATTTTGTGCATAAGCAGCTCTATGAAATTGGCCCCTGGGTTTACTTATGTGCTTCTACCATACAATCTGGGCACTGACGACTGGTAGAACAGATTAAAATGGCGCTTGCAATATACAGATTTTGTTGCGCCGTTTTCATCATTTAAAAAAAAAAAAGATCAGACTTAATAGCATCATCCCCCAGCACCCCCTTAAATCTGCCTTCGGTCTTCACTCACCAGGAAGCATCTTAGAGATTGACTTGGACATCAGCCCCCTAGCCCTGATAATCTCCACCTCCAGCTTGCCCCTTTTGTCCTCCAGACCGATCTGGATGTCCCCTAGGCAAGGGGAGCCCAGGACCTGCCGACCCACCAGCTGGGCAGGGCCTAGCCCCTCCAGGAAGCCGTCAAACTGGCCCTCGGGGCCCATGCGGAAGTTACCCGGTAGCCAGAGTCTGGTGAGAAGAGTAAACATGTTAGTTAAAAGTAAGTTTGATGAAGTACCACAGGTCAATTACTAGTGGTCGGGTTTGATCCAGAACTAGAGTTATAACCATAGTTTGTCGTAAGGCCTTTTCACTCTTTTGTTCTGCATACCTTTGTTGAAATCAACCAGGATCGAATGAAGTGGATCCTTGTCTGTTAACAAGTTGACAAGGAACATCATTAACACTGACATAGCTTGTACATGGGTCAGCCGTAGATTTTGGATTTTTTTTACTAGGGTAGAACTTCTCAACCCTAGTCCCGTATAGAGCGCCAAACCCGTGTAGAAGCGGTGTTAGATTCTTGCTAGTGTGAAAGGGGTTTCTGAAATGTTCGGTTTTGACCCAGGTTCAACACAGAGATGTCAGGTAGTGTGAACAGGACCTTCAGACTGGACTTGTCTTATCAACTATTTTGGACAAGCAAGGAGACATGAAATTGTGAAGTTTGTAATGTTTGATCATCATTTGTCGAGACAACTACGGTAAAATTACATGTACTCAGATTTAGCCTTAATACCTTTGGGGAGTGTGGCCTAGTGGTAAGGGTTTGTGACTCGTAATCAGAGGGTCAGGGGTTCAAATCCAGCTGCTGGTCATACGTTGTTTCCTTGGGTAAGCAACTCCACCCCCACTTGCCTCTCTCCACCCAGGAGTATTAATGGGTACTAGCATTAGCTGGGGAGTAACCTGCGATGGACTAGCATCCCGTCCAGGGGGAACAGAAATATTCTCAGTCGTTTCATGCCAAGGAAACCGGAGATAAATGCCAGCCTGATGGGCTGTATTGGTTCGTGACAGACTTTACTACTGCTAAAACCTGCCCACCAAAACTAAGTGCCAAAAGGCGAAGTTTGGGAAACGAAACTTGAAAGCAAAGTTAATGGATAGATTTGAAGAATACTGACTGGCTTGAGCTGTCGCTACTGAAGCTGCAGACACTGCCGTCTGTGCTCTCGCGGCTAGCTTGCTTCTGTAGACGATTCCTCATCTCGGCAGCTAGGCCAACCTCCTCGCTACGTACTATACTACTCCGTGGCTTCTTGCCTGGTGAAAAAAGAAAAACAAGCCTCCTTCGATGATGATCATTTAACTTTACGGATAGAGTGAAACATCAAAATTGTAACAAACCACTGCAATTAATCATTAACACTGCAATTAATCAAATACTAGAAGCAGAGTAAAACAGAGCTAAGCAGAGCATCAGAAAACATCGCAGAGCATCGCAGAACACTGCTAATCATCTCAGAGCATTGCTAAGCACCTTACACCATCCCAAAGCATCGCAGACCATCGCAGAGTATCTCAGAGCATCACAGAGCATCACAGACTATCGCAGAGACTCACAGAGCATACAAAGAGTATTACAGAGCATCTCAGAGCATCACAGAGCATCACAGAACAATGCTAAGCATCTCAGAGCATTGCTAAGCATCAAAGACCATCGCAAAACATCACAGACCATCGCAAAACATCACAGACCATCGCAGATCATCGCAGACCATCGCATATATATCAAAAAATCACAGAGCATCAAAGAGCATCAAAGAGCATCGCAGAGCATTAGGGAACACCACAGAGCATTGCAGAGCATTGCAGAGCATCGCAAAACATCGCAGATTAACGCAGAGCATCGCACAGAATCGCAGGGCAAAGTAATGCATAATAAAAACAAAACAGGGTATATATCCACACAAATACGATCTTGTACCTGCTAGATTGGATGTACTATTACTCTTCTTGGAAAGACCCACTAGCGACGCCATCTTGTATCCGATGCTGGCCCGGCGCTTCTTGCCCTCCTGGATGTTCACGTCGGCCGCCGAGTCTGATATGCTGCCCTCGTTCCGGTCGTACGTGTACATGTCGGCGCTGCTGTTGCTGCGGTTCAGCGGCTTCTTGACGGGGGCAGTTGCTTGCAATTTCTCGGCAAAGGCACTGTCGTGAAAAAACGAAGACTATGTTGTGAAAAAAGTAGCAGCGTGTGTAAAATTTACGTAATATGGGACTCCTTTTTCTTTTTTTTAATATTATTATTATATACATTGAAAAACTTTTTTCTGTATAATTTCTTTTTATTACCTCCGCCAAAGAGGTTATGTTTTCATCGGCGTTGGTTTGTTTGTTGGTTGGTTGGTTTGTCTGTTAACAAGATAACTCAAAAAGTTATGGACGTATTTGCATAAAAAAAAAATTCGGGGCGGTCCTTGGTACAAGAACAAATCGATTAGATTTTGGAAGTGATCCAGATCTGGGTCTAGATCCAGGATTTTTTTTAAAGGATTCTTCACCATTTATGCGAGTATTTCTTGTGGGTGTACTGACAATATGGTGGGGAATTGTTTAGCCTTGGCGGAGGTTTGTGCTCTCTGAGTGCTTTCTAGTTTCTTTGAAATGCATAGGCTTCTTCCGAACTGTTGGAATTTCTTGTTTATGATTTACATAGAATGTAGTGCTGCCGTGGGTTGTCCAATATATAGTGTCTATGTTGGTTATCAGCGCTGTTAGGGTGTTTGTTTGTTTCTTTTACTTTCCTTAAATATGTACTTTTGGATACTGTTGATTTTTGTTCATTTGTTTGTTTGACACATGCATGGTTAAGTATTTAGATGTTTTGCAAACACGACCAAAATGTCACTTTTTTTTTAAAATGTAACATGTACTTGTTAGATGGCAGGATAGTAATTGTTTTTTTTTCTACTGTGATAAAATACGTTTAGGATTTGCTTTTCATGTTGATCTAAGTGGTGGGATTTAAATCCGGATATTTTACAACTCGGTTTGAATTCCACTATTCGGTTTGGATTTTGGAAACCGGATATTCAGAGATGCCAACTTTACAGACTACAAAATAGTACTGATTCTTCCTGCAAAGAGTAATGCTAATGTAAATACATAGGACAACAGTCAAGTTTAAGAGTAACCACAGTACTTTTCAGAGTAACCACAATGTTGGCGTATAGGACAGCTGGAAATTTCAAGAGTAGTAACACTAACACGCCTCAAAATCCTAATAATTACTCCAACAGAGCAATGGTTGGCATCTCTGGATATTCCAAACCTTTAAAAAATCAGGCCTTCCATTTTTTGGTGACACAAGCTAACAACTGGAACATCCCCCAATTTGCTCCATGGTCTCTGACTGTAACCGGATTTTGAAATATCCGATTTCTCCCACCACTAATTGATCTACAAATGTGCTCCGACTAAAACAGATGGTCGGAAAAGTGCAACTGACCTTTTTGCATACCTTTCCAAATTAGAAACAAATTCATCAAGTGTTAGTTTGGTGGACATGTGCTGGTTGTTTCAAAAATGTGCTTGTCAAATAAAAAAAACCACTCCTTAGATAAACCAAACCAATTAACTTAACTAATTACAATACTTGTGTAGTGCCAAGGTTAAATGTGTGCAGTTTCAAATGTTTCATTGCTAATAATGAATTCTACATTTTTTTGGGAAGTTCTTGTGCCTAAAATTTAACAATGAGTAAAGTACATGCAGGCTTTTGATGCCACCATAATGAAAATCTTTACCATGAAATTAAAAAGGTAACCGGTGATTTCAATGAGCTGGTATTATCAGCTACGTGTAAGAATTGTGCCCTGGATCATTTTAAAACCTTACTCTGAAATCTGTCCAGAAATTGAATTATTACATGACTCTATAGACCATTCACTCTATGTAATTGTAACCTGCCACAGCATAATGAGGAATAACCCCCAACTTTGACTTTTCACGTTATGTTCATCATGTTAAAGCGCAAATCATTGGCTTTCTATTGATACCAAATTTATTTCTGCTGCTTAATTTATTCCAAAGATATGGCGCAGGAACTTAAACAGTGTCTTGCCAAGTTTTTGTTACCTCATTTCGAGAAAAACGGCTTTGAAAAAAAAACAACACGCATTGCGCCGCAGACGGCAGTGAAAAACTTTCTTCAGTTTTTCCACTTTTGTGGGTATTTTTTTTCCCAACAAAACTGCATAGTGTGAATCTTGGATACCTTGCCTAGTCAAAAACACAAAACAATCAAAAACGATGTTCACATGATTTTTCTAGTATATCCGAGTACTCAAAACAAGGTTTTGGGGGACATTCCTCATTTTGCCTCAGTAGGTCACATATGTGATTCGCTACTTTTCTTGAATTCCCCCCCCCCAAAAAAAAATATTTCATCGTCTTGGTGTTACACATCACCACATCCACTGTCAGTTAAAAACGATGATGACTCACTGTCAAAAATAGTTTTGCTGTTCGCGTCAAAAGATAATAAATAGGTATAAACAGCTGGGAAAGGGCTTTAGTTTGTCAATAATTTAAACCTGTCAATTTGCATACGTCCTTACGTGGGCCGAGTATAAATACACATACATAATGATCGTTTATATTTTGTTTTACCCAAAGGATTATAAAATTTGTTATTTATTCAGACTGGATAATTTATTGGCGTGCAGTTATGCTGGTACATGTAAATAAATTGTGCTATTTGTACAACGGAATGTATTAGATAAAAAGTAAATTAAAACAATTTATTCAGCTAAAGATGCATGCATTGTTGACCTATTTTCCTAGGGGAAAAAAACACACTAAAATAAAGTTTGCTACTGAAGTCGAATTCTTTTTGTTATGATCCTAAAGTGTGTACAACTAAAGAAATAGTGTTTAACTTAAGTAGGAGTACAGGCATGACAACTTTAAAGTCATAATAAAGTCCTTTTTTTTCAAGAGTATAAAGCAACAATATGATTTACAGGTATATCTTTAGACATTTACTCGTACTAGGTTGAAAAGCATATAGGATCATTTGCTTTTCATGCATTTTGTTCGTTTCCAATAATAACACCACTCAAAATCCAAAGAAGAGTGTTCAAAACCCAACCTGTTGAAGTTTCAGCTCAGTAGATATTACACTTATAAGTTTTAGAGAAAAAAGTAAAACCAAAAAAAACAAACATGCCGACCTTTTGATCACGAAACACGATTTCGTCCACAGCACTCTTTATTTCCAAAATCCAGTCAAGTGACTGATCGTTGGCAATCACCTACATTTCATGATTTCATCTAAATGACAGCAAGCCAGACGGATGATCGGTACCAGTGCCATATTTTAATCCACATAAGCATTTTTGATAATAACTTGGTCGGTTACTTTTTTGAATAATTGAAAATAATCCTATATGCCTTTAACATTTGGTTGACCATTTAAATAAAAACATTCTGTATGCATGTTCAATTATTCACAAACCTTTTAGCATTTACAAATACCCATGTACAGTCTTACCCTTCAATCATGTTTGGCATTTCGATTCGGCTATCCGCCTTTCAATTTTCCGGGATGAAAATGTTTGTCAACAGTGCAACATACTGCGTCTCGAGTCAACTTTGCCATTTCATCTACTGATGAAAGTTTACTCATCTCTACGGCACGACTTGGATCAGGCTGGTTCCCGGGCGGGGATGGTCTGGAAACGGCCTCACCCACGACAACATACGGCACTTGACAGCTTCGCTCTGAAATTTTGCGATGACATTTCTGGTGATAACATGGGCTTATACTCAGAACAATTGTCTTCAGAGACAAGAAATTTGTAACGAAAGACAGACAGGTTTTGAGACAAGGACATTGAAAGAGGGTTGAACAAGAAATTGAAAGTTGCACATTGGGAAAGAAAAGAACATGTAAAATACACTGAGAAATATTCCCTAACAAATCAAAAGTTACAGGGTCAAAGGACGGGGTGAACTTTTACTCCTTTACTCTCTCCAAATTCTTGTTTCTTTTTTTTTTTTTAAGGGACAGTCTAGTAAATTTAATAAATATTAATTGTAGAAAGAACAGTAACCCCCCAAATATGTATTGAGCTGAACAATACAAATCCTATAGGAATTGGCCTGGGTCTGATCTTTGCCTCAGAAATTCTGCTTCAAAAATTCAACCAGGGTTAAAGGGGCACTCACGATGTCTCAACAGGAAACTTGTGGAGTATGAAATTTTTTTAATAAAAAAAATATGGAGTAATGAAATATTACTGACAAAACATACTGACAAACTCAGTACTATCGCACACCAAGGGTGAAAAAAGGAGGGGGGGATTTTATCTGAGATTTTGATTTGTTATGGAACGTCCCAAAACATGAACACCACCAACAACAACATGATACACCAAAACATTCATCTACCAAAATTATTCAGCTGTAGTTTTTTTTTACAAGGTAGAAGTTTTTATATTTGATGGACTAAAAGCAGTCTAGATTTTGACAGATATTGTCCAAAAGTACCACAAATGTTATTCACATTTGATTGTTTCTCCTGCAGGATTTCTTTGACCTACAAAAATGTTTGGCGATATTTCAAATAATATTGACAAGGAGTGGAGGATGGATTATATTTAAATTAAAAAAAACCTTAACTTTTGAATATCAGTGAGGGAAAAAAAAACAGTTTCAAGATGAGTCGATTATTACTAAAAACTACAGCTGAATTTTAAATAAAAATTCACAAGACTCAATTTCAACCAATGACTGTACTACCAATGTCTATGATCACATCTCACCACTGTAACATACTCCATGCAAAAATGAATAAAAAAACACAAACACAACCATGCAAATGAGCGAAAGGGTTGATGGCACAAAAGACATGCAATGACAGAGAAATTTAAGAGAAAAATAGCCACGAAATGTTGATGAGCTGTTTTATTATAACAGTATAATGCCAAGTAAGATTGGAGGCTTTGCATGTTGGAGATACTAATGAATGAAAGGTTTATGGAAACACCATGTGCAAACAATTTCTCAACTAAGAGAATGGTTCTGAAAAGAACCAGAGGTATAAACTCGATGTTCAGGTCAGTATAGGTAAGCCATCTACAGCAAATCACTTCGATCCCCATTTGAATCCGAGAGCAATTTTGATCAAGATTGAAGTAGAAACAGACAGAAGCTGATAGAAAAAACCCAAAAACCAGCACCAAAGGTTAACTTTCCTGTAAATGTGAGCTTTAAAAGATACCGCAACCATGTTTTGCAAATAAGCCAGTTCCGTTTTTCAAATGCGCACGTGTGCAATGATATGGGTCACAGATCATCCGGAATAATCGAACGCTCATCGAAGGCACATAAACGTGCAAGGAGACGGTCGCACTGCGACGCTCGCGCGTTCATTTACGAGCAGAATGGGCGTTCGCAATTTATGACCTTTGTATGACCTTCGTATGACCTTTGACCTGGACTACTTCATCGAGATACCGAACTGGCTTATTCTACATATTGTGCACTGTTTCTCCTGAATGGGAAGATGCAATCATGATAAAATGTCCAGCTCAAGGACAACAAAATTGGAATGAAGTGAGTCCACACTACATTCCATCCCACCAAGATCCTGTGATCCATATAAGCATAAAGTACAGGGTCTCCAGACTACAGTACATCTGAGACTTTGGCTGCGTCCGAAATACTTGGCTGTTGCTGGGGCCAATTTCACGGCGCTGCTAAGCACAAAAATTTGCTTAGCACAAAAAAGTCTGGCTTATAAAAGCAGATTATCAGCCAGAACCCCATGTGATTTTCATGCTAAGCAAACAACAGTTGAATACTAATCATGAGCAATATACATCACGTGGAGTGTTGGTTGGTAACCTGCTTTTGTAAGCCAAACTTTTTTTGTGCTAAGCACATTTCCATAGGCACGTGTGTAACTTCCAGCCGTAGCCACAGCTCTATTTCATGGTGCTGCTTAAGCACAGAATTTTGCTAAGCACATTAAATATCTGCTAAGCAATTACAGGTCACCAGCCAAAATGTCACAATAAGTACATCATTGCCTGTTAATGGTTCCCAGCTCATTCTTGCTTAGCAATATTCTCCGCTTAGCAGCTTGATGAGATCTGGCTCTGAGTGACACCCTAAACATCCACTACATGTACAATGTTTCTAAAAACCACCTGTACACCCATGCAATTTCACAAATTGGTACAATCATGCTACGAGAGAACTATTACAATTTCACAAATTTGTACGATCTACGAGAGGAGAACTATCACATGAAGAGGTGAAAAGAAATTAGGGACAAGGGGTAAACCAAGACAGAGGAACATACATCCATAGTCATCGAGAAGTTGGGGCGAGGCCTGTCTATGAAGGGGAGTGAGGCCTGGTGGTGAAGGGGCATGTGGCCTAGTGGGTAGGGTTTCGTAACTCGTGATCAGAGGTTTGAATCCACCTGCTGGTCATGTTGTGTCATTGGGCAAGCCACTTCACCACCCCTTGCCTCTCTCCACCCAGGAGTATAAATGGGTACCGGCATTAGCTGGGGAGTAACCTGCGATGGACTGGCATCCCATCCAGGAGGAATAGAAATATTCTCAGTCATTTCATGCCAAGGAAACTGGAGATAAATACCGGCCTGATGGGCCATATGGGCTCGTGACAGACTTAACTTAAATGTACTTTACTGTCTATGAGGTTGTGCTGATATATTTTGAGCTTAGTTAATCAGAATACAGGAAGACTTGTTGCCTGTCCTCATCTATTACTGCCTCATACTGTATGGCCGAGTCTTCAGTCCGTTCCCTCCCAAGTACATTGTAAGCCTTCAATTCTTCAAATACGCCGTATGTTTCGACTCTCTTATCAAAAGCGGCAAGTTTTCTTGCAACATACATTGTGCTTCAATTATGTTCTACAGGAATGCCGGTAAAAATAACCTTCGTTCTATAAAAGCAACAAACAACAATCTAAATTATCTGTGTCACACATAATTACTTTAAACACAAGCTAAAACAATATCGATCTTTCAATTAATTAGCCATATTAACTAAATTTTAATATATTTTTGTAATAATAGTTGTTTACATCCATTAACCTTGAACTTAAATATATTATACATAAAAAATCCCTTAAAGTCTCCAACTAGAAAAAGTTTAAAGATTTTAGCTGCTTATTTCAAATATTTACAAATAAATGGATTTACAATTTTTTGGCCCCAAAAGAGACATTAATCCTTTTGTAATAGAATACACATGTACCGGTGCTTTTCATTGGACCAATGTACACGTATTGAGATTTTATTTCTTTATTATTCATGTAAGCCCTAACTCTCTACGCTTATTTCCATAATGAGCTAAGAACTATGCATAATCAGCATATGTAAGTTGCAAATATGTTGATGAAGCTGGAGAAAAAGTTAAGTCTTGTTAGTTTTAAGTTGCCATGGAAACAAAGCGATTATGTGAGCTAGAATATAAGAATGTTTGATGTTTGTAAAAGTCTGAAGATGTTAGTGCCAGTAAAATAGTTCAAGGTTTCGCTGTAAGGAAATGTTTCTGAATGCAAAAGTTTGAGGATTAAAACAGCATTAGGCAAAGCGTTAGTTATGGTGCTGATAAGTCTGTGAGTTTGAAACACTCCGCAGTCACAGCAAATCCGAAGTCACAAACCACACTTTGCTCTCTCAAAAATCTCCAAGATTTGTGATCCAAACCCAAATTAATACAAAAGTGCAATGGCTTTTGGATTTTAGAACATACTATCCAAAACTGCTCAATAATTAGAATTAAAAACCAAACAGCGTCAACTTCGTAACTCGAACTCACACTCCAAAACAAAATCCCAATCAAAAATACAAAGCCCACACAGTTACCTTTCTCTTCGGCTTGGCGGACAGTCCAGATGCATCGTATATGACCTGCTGAATGATCGGCATGCATCAATCAGAATCACTCAAACCTCACACAAACTCATCATGAACAAATCCTTTTTACTCATCAGTTACTCATTTGAGTTCTCGAGTCACTGGCTGAGAACACTCGTCCTGTGTTTTCCTGCGTGACAGCAACTATGTCACTCAGCCGACTTCACTCACTCCGTCATATCGGCCTACACTCAAACCTCACACATCAACAACTTCTGTCACTCATACTCAAACTCACCAATCAAAATAAAAACTCAGTCCCGACACTCACCTGAGTTTTCTGGTCAACCACCTCTCCAGCTATGCTGAGAGGATCAGCACACAACAACTTCAGTCACTCATACTCAAACTCACCACTCAAAAATAAAAACTCAGTCCTGACACTCACATGAGTTTTCTGGTCGACCACCTCTCCAACTATGCTGAGAAGATCAGCACATCAACAACTTCAGTCACTCATCCTCAAACTCACCAATCAAAAATAAAAACTCAGTCCTGACACTCACCTGAGTTTTCTGGTCAACCACCTCTCCAACTATGCTGAGAAGATCAGCACACAACAACTTCAGTCACTCATACTCAAACTCACCAATCAAAAGTAAAAACTCAGTCCTGACACTCACCTGAGTTTTCTGGTCAACCACCTCTCCAACTATGCTGAGAAGATCAGCACACAACAACTTCAGTCACTCATACTCAAACTCACCAATCAAAAGTAAAAACTCAGTCCTGACACTCACCTGAGTTTTCTGGTCAACCACCTCTCCAACTATGCTGAGAGGATCAGCACACAACAACTTCAGTCACTCATACTCAAACTCACAAATCAAAATTAAAAACTCAGTTCTGACACTCACCTGAGTTTTCTGGTCAACCACCTCTCCAGCTATGCTGAGAGGATCAGCACACAACAACTTCAGTCACTCATACTCAAACTCACAAATCAAAATTAAAAACTCAGTTCTGACACTCACCTGAGTTTTCTGGTCAACCACCTCTCCAGCTATGCTGAGAGGATCAGCACACAACAACTTCAGTCACTCATACTCAAACTCACCACTCAAAAATAAAAACTCAGTCCTGACACTCACCTGAGTTTTCTGGTCAACCACCTCTCTAACTATGCTGAAAGGATCAGCACATCAACAACTTCAGATACTCAAACTCACCAATCAAAAATAAAAACTCAGTCCTGACACTCACCTGAGTTTTCTGGTCAACCACCTATCCAACTATGCTGAGAGGATCAGCACATCAACAACTTCAGTCACTCATACTCAAACTCAAGACTCAAAAATAAAAACTCAGTCCTGACACTCACCTGAGTTTTCTGGTCAACCACCTCTCTAACTTAGCTGAGAGGATCAGCACATCAACAACTTCAGTCACTCATACTCAAACTCACCAATCAAAAGTAAAAACTCAGTCCTGACACTCACCTGAGTTTTCTGGTCAACCACCTCTCCAACTCTACTGAGAAGATCAGCACACAACAACTTCAGTCACTCATACTCAAACTCACCAATCAAAAGTAAACACTCAGTCCTGACACTCACCTGAGTTTTCTGGTCAACCACCTCTCCAACTATGCTGAGAAGATCAGCACACAACAACTTCAGTCACTCATACTCAAACTCACCACTCAAAAATAAAAACTCAGTCCTGACACTCACCTGAGTTTTCTGGTCAACCACCTCTCCAACTATGCTGAAAGGATCAGCACATCAACAACTTCAGTCACTCATACTCAAACTCACCACTCGAAAATAAAAACTCACTCCTGACACTCACCTGAGTTTTCTGGTCGGCCGCCGCTCCGACTGCGTGGAGAAAGCACTGGCCGTGCTGGCTTGAGTAATGGCTGACACGTCGCTGGTGCTAGACATGTTACTGTCCGAGGACTTGATGGAGATGTTGTCGGGGCTCTGCTTGCGGCGAGGCCTGGGCGGGGCATCCAGGATGGGCGTGCCGCCCGAGGACGAGGATGCGGCCGTGCCATGCGGGGACAGCGTGTTGGCCGTGGCCGCCTGCTTGTACTGGTTGATCTTCATTTTCATTTTCATCTGCCGGGCTCGCTCCTCGATTTCTGCTGTTCCTGAAAATATCAGGTCAAAGTTCAAGGTCACAGGTGAAAGACTAAGTTTGGGATGTTACAGCTTCTTTAAAATCAAGTGCGAGACTAGCCCTTGTGAGATTTGGAGAAAAGATAATTTGAGATAACTACAAATAAATTTGGGTAACTATAAAGCATTCACTCAAGCATATAGGGCTCTCTTTTTGCAGCCACTCGATCTCTGAAAAGGCTAATTGTGTCCAATCTGACATACCTTTATCCGATTTGAGATGGGCAGGGACCTGAGGCAGCTGCCTATGCTTGCGCGGCGTGGAAGGCGTCGATACGGGGCTCCCTCTACCGCCATGGACTGGAGAGTTGGGCAGGCTGGAAGTGTCAATGTTGGATGTCATGGCACCACGGGTGTGCGACCGGTACTGCCTTTCGAAGTCCATCTCTCCCCGGTTTTCTGATTGCGTTCGGCGATGGGGATCCCCGTGCTGTAGGTCTGCACGTCGGCTCGGGGAACGCGATCGCCGGCCGCCCATCCGGTCGTAATCGTACCCTGCAGGCGGGGAGAGGGCACGGTGGGTCCGTTCCCTGGGGTCGCGTGAATCGCGGAGCTCACGCGGGTCACGCATCTCGCGGTCCAGAAGCTCCTGTTCGTGCGGCTCCCGCCGGCCGCGACTGTGATTGTTCCTCAAGTCCAAGTCGCGCGGAGGGGGGTCTCTGAACTCCCGCTGGTCCCGATCCCTCGGTTCGTGATTCCTGGGGTCGTGGTCCCGCAAGTCACGGTCTCGGAGATCCCGGTCTCTGGGGTCATGCTCCCTGGGATCTTGATCCCGCAAGTCTCGTTCTCTCAAGTCTCTACTCCTCGGGTCCCGATCGTGGTCCCGTCCCTTCCGCTCCCGATCTCTTGGAGTCCGTGCTGTCGGTGACTGCCTGCTCTGGCCATCGGTGTCGTCTCTGTAGCGCGCAAACTGTGACGGCGCGTCTTGGTGCTTGCTGTACATGTCTGCGGGCTCGGTGCTCATGCGTTCCCGTCGCGTCGGCGAGGGGCTTCGGGGCCGGCTCCGGGACGCCCTCTCTGGTACAGCTAGGGTGGTAGCGGAGCCGCGACGCTCTCGTGTGTGGGAAGAAAGCTCTTCTTGCTGGGGTGGTACAACTGCAAATCAAAGAGGATTTCATTCAGCGGCAAGTTCCACGTTTCTTGGGTCTGGGTGCCAAAATTCCCAAGACTGTATTTGACTCATCTTATTGATAGCACACTCCAAATGCCAATGTGGCTTTAACTGCGCTTGTGAGAGTTGGAATGCAAAAATATCCAAATCCAATGATTGAAGAGCTTAGGATTGGTGAGAAACTTACCGATTCCTGACCGCCTCTGGGCGGTAGGGGACCTGGGGTAGTCCTGGTCGTTCAGGGGCCTGTCGTCTTCGCTGGCCGGGGGTGGACTGCAGCTGCTACCTAAGGAGGAGACACTGGCGCCATCCCCTACACCAACGACCGATGAACCTGGATAGGTTGAAATGGAGAAGTTTAATTCCAACTCTCAAGGTTTTGCAAGGAATCGACCCTTTGCTCCAGAACTTGGACACGTGGCCCAAGACGCAAATACGACAAACTGGCAAAAACCTTTCCTTGCAAGGTGACTGTCGAATTCCCTGAGTTTTTTTTGGTCTGATTTTGGATTTTATTCCCACAAATTCCCTGAGTTTTCCCCTGACTGGAAAAATGGAAACTCATTTTCCATGTTTTTCCTGATTTTCAGAGTTGTTGGGAACCCTGAAAAAACCAAAACAAACGCCTTCATGTGCCCAGCACTTTCAACTGTCTTTTCTGAGCAACACAGTACACGGAACCAGCGTGGAAACACGCCATGTCTACCCTGCTATAGAGCTCTCACGAGAGGTGACAGAGCCATAGAGCTGTCCAGATTGAATACAAGGAACAGAGGAGCGCAACAGGATTTGGGGTGGAGGTACAGGTGGAGGTAATTCCCGTTCAAAAAATGGTGAGACAGAGGATACGGCCAGAGAAGTTACAGGAAAAGATGGTAGCAAGAATGGGGTCATATCCATTGAAAGAGAAATGGTACGAAGCTGTTAGTACAAAAAAGTACACCGAGATGGTTGGTATTAATTGGTGGACTGGTTAAAAAAAAAATTGCTGGACAAACTCTGCTGCAGCTATGGGCTAGCCGGTCATGCACTGAGAATGTGGATAGCTGCAAGCACAATCAGGCGAGGTTAGTATAGACTGCAACAGGTGGACAATGCAGACACAGACGATGTGTTGGAAAACAGCCCTCACGTTAATAGTTTTTAACATCAAAATGAATGACACATTATGAATTTGTTTTTATAAGGTTTTACACATAAAAATAAAACACAGATTATCTTGGTATCCCAAAGTAAGCTGAACTGAAAACTCATGAAAATAATAGCAAATTAATTGACATTAAATCTACTTGCAACTTTAAAATATGTGAAGTCTTCAATTTTGAAGTATGTTAAACTAACAAATCATCAGACTGTCAGCGTTTTCTTCACTTACATGTAGAAATATCGCCATGTGTTTTTTGTTGGCCAACAAAAACATTGAAACATTAAGCCTTTAGACCTTGTACTGTCCCGAACCACTATGCCTGGTACTCCTCATACCCAGAGCCGTATATAGAGAGAATTGCGACATAAGGGTTTTCAAGTTACGGAATTTTAAACACAACCACCACTTTAAAGTTCCTTCCATGGATCACGAGAAGGTAAGTGTTCTTTCAGCAAAACGAAAACAAATCACAAAGGGATGTGTGTGAATTGTTTTCGTTTTGCTGAAAGAACGCACACCTTTTTTGTGATCCGAGGACAGAACTTTAAAACGATGCTTGTGTTTAAAATTCTGTAACTTGAAAAGTACATGAGTGATTTGAATGATTCTTGTACTAAAAGAAAGCTTATGAATTGGGCTTTCATATCCTAGATTTTCAAAATGCTACATGCAGAACTTCACTTAAACAATGGTCCCGACATTTGGGTTTTGCTTTTTTTGACTAACCCTGTACAATGTAATGCAATTTAAAAATTGTTGAAAAAATGAAAGCAAACATTGTTCTAAAACAATCTACACTTTTTGGAAACCAAGTACTCAACTGACATTGAAGAAAGAAATGGTGTTCAGGTTATAATGAGAAACATTTCCGATTCAATATATTGAAAAGACACGGGAGGGAGAAATTAGGGGGCGGAGAGATTGTGTCAGAAAGGGGGAGGGGGGATTGGTCTTCACCTTCGTTGACGGGTGGCGTCCGGCAACGCTCACCGAGCGAAGACGCACCGTCACCCACTCCGACCACAGATGCCCCTAGACACACAGTAATTAGGTTTTACACAGATTAAAACGATTAAAGAGGTTCACCAGATGTTCTGTCCGTGCTTTTATCCTCCGGATTTTTTGGTATTGCTATTTATCTAGGCATGAAACCTTTATTCACTTTGAATGAAACACGAATTGAAAACGAACTACTAACAGAAATTTCCAAAAAATGTGTCTTTAGACACATCTTTGGAACTGACCTTCTTTTATTGTTTTCTTCAAAATGACAGCATGCCAGAAAGAATCATTTCAAAGGGAGTTTAGTGCCACTACTATCTTTAAACCAAGTATGCTTTTCAACAATAATTTTGTCAGTTACTTTTCGGATAGCTGCAAATGATCTTCTAAACTTTAACAATAATTCAGATCTCTCCGTGTTGACTGGTTCCTACCCTTGTCAGAATTGGATAATGCAGTGACAGGGAACCAGTCTACTTGCAGGTTGGATCTGTTTGCGTGCATAAAATATAACCCCCTCCCCCCAAAAAGGAGTCTTTTTTAAATATGGGTTGCAGAAGTCCGACATAGGAAAAAATGTAGTTATTTTTACTTTAAAAATAATGTTGAAAATTATTTATGCAAAAAAAATAATTAAATTGATTGAACAGCACGGACAGAATATCTTTAATAAATGATGCGAAGGGAGGGGGGAAAAAAGAGGATGATGTTGTTATGGAAACAGCAGGATGAGATGGCGAGACATAAGAGATGGAGTGATGATGAAGTTTGATCCAGGGAGGAGCAACACCAGAGAAACAAGATTTTATTTTTTTAGTGCACTCATACAATGAAGACAAGATATAAATAGACAATTCAAACTGTCATGGCCACTTTAATTGGAAATGACGTTTCTAGTTCATACTGAACAGTAATGCACAGACGCATGTCAAATGAAATTACATGTAAATCCGTAAAATGATCCTTCTATAACTAGAATGTACAGCTTGCAACAGGATGCAACTTCACACTTCATCGATTTCCCTTTGCTACTTTAGTGTTTACTTTCTGAGAGTTTAGACGGTCGGAGCATACTGAACGGAACGTCGAGTTCATACCTCTGAATAATGAAAGGTTTGCGGAAACACCATGTGCGAAAAATTTCTCAACTAAGAAAATGGTTCTGAAAAGAACCAGAGGTATAAACTCGACGTTCCGGTCAGTATGCTCTGACCGTCTTCAGGAGAGTGCCTAAACTCTAAGAAAGTGAATACTTAAGTAGCAAAAGGCGAAGTCAATGAAGTGAGAAGTTGCATCCTGTGAGGATGCCAAGTAGACAGGATCCTAGAACAGGCTTGGTGCCCACTGGTTCTTTTCAGAACCATTCTCTTAGTTGAGAAATTATTCGCACATGGTGTTTCCGCAAACCTTTCATTCATTAGAATGCACAGTGTATGAAATGACATGATATAGATTTCATGAATTTAGTATAACGTTGCTGGGCAGTTAATTTTGACTAGTATTAGGTATTTAAATATGACTGCTGTGTTAGGCCACCCTTAGGTGGACCTTGCGACAACAAAAGATCAGTCAGCGACTGACTTTTCAGGATCAAGCACTGCCTGAGCTACGACCGTTGCAACACAACTGGTGCCATTTCAGGCAGAAACCTCAATGTTGCAACTATTTCAGCACCAAAAGTTGCCAGTATTTTGGATATTTTGCTTTTGTGAATTTTTTTTTTCTTTGGTGATTCGTTCTTGTGTCAGTAGTAAGCCAATGAGCAAACTTTTCTCACAAATGTTTTCAATGAGAAATTTTTGGGTTCACAACTTGAACAGAAAACCTCTAAACTGAACAGTGTCTTCCTGAAATGGCATCCCAGGAACAGCGACCTCAGTTATCCGGAAAAGCGTGGACAACTTCAAATGTTTAAAGAAGTGCAATTTTCAATAAAATTAACCAAAAAGGGATGTCAAATAGTTTTCATACATTTAAGAGGAGTAGAAAGTCGCACAAAATGTGTTCCTAAGAAAAATTCATCTCCAGATAGATTTTCCGGATGGTTTTAACAACACTACAAAGCAGCTTACCCGTGACTACGCCAATGCCGTCGTCCCAGTCCGAGAATTCGCTGTCGGTGATCTGCCCTCCGGACGGTGGCGACGAGAGCTGCTCCCGGCTCCCTGTCTCCCCGCTGCTGTTGCGCTGCATGTGCTTCATCTGGTGCCGGGCGGGCACCGGTGAGGCCAGCGGTAGAGGCACCTGCTTGTTGTGGCTGCGCAGCGAGTACATGTGGGGCTCGTCATCGAGGGGCGCGGCCTCAAGGTTCACCATGACCTTTACAAGAAAAAAAAGTAGAGATGGAAATTTGTTAATTGATCATGCACTTTGTTGTTTGGAACCCCCGCAATGCTTTGCGTGGCACGGGTGGCGCATTGCGTAAAGCGCTCGCCTCTCACTGTATGGCCGGGGTTCGATTCCTGGCTCAGGTCATTTATAAATAGAGTTGTTCGTTGATTCTCTCTTGTGCCACGAGGGTTTTTCTCCGGGTTCTCCGGTTTTCCTCCCTCTGTTAGCTGGTGCCTATATCTGATTGCCACCGTAAAAGCCAAAACTTTTATTTGACAATACTCACCTCGCCCATGAACTCTTTAGCACCATAGTGTTCAAAGTCCCAGACGGTGACCTCCAGGGTGTGACCCTTGAACTCCGACCTCTTGAAGGGGCCGTACAGGAAGGTCTGGTTCCATTTGGGATTCAGGGTTTTGTGGAGGGTCTTCGTACGTCTTTTACTATCATCACTAAAGAAAAAAATGGATAAACGGAATTCTTAAAAACAGATTACAGCTTCATTCATTTACTGTCTTTACAGATTTAAAAAGAGAAAAGAATAAAAAGGACATTTTGGTCTAGTTTCTGACCTCCTATCTGGAAGTAGATACATCTTGATGTAAGGGTTGCGCAGATCGCCTGTCTTTTCTCTCGGCTGCAGGCCCTGGATGCTGAGTATCGTCACTCCGATCTGGTAGTTGGTGTTGTCGTACCACAGCTTCATCTGAGAAATTCAAACGAAAACAAAAATTACAATTGTAGAGAAACGTGGAACTTGAAGGAAAGTTAGCATTTCAGATGTGAAACAAAAAAAACGAAAGCAACGATGGTAAATGTCTTGCTTAAGGACACACTAGTTAAATGTCAAGGGTATAATTGGAAATTAAAACTTTACCTGGAGCTCTCCGTGCACTAAGGGCGAGCCGTTCCGTCTGGTCATGCCGGGGCTTCCAGGCGAGGTGATGGTGACCGACGGCCGCTTGTGCCGGACCTGCGGTGGGATCTCCTCTTCCTCCTTGTGCTTGGTGGTGGACTCGTAACCGCTGGAGCCTGCACAGGTGCAAGAACAAACACCTACACACCTAACCAAGATATATACTAGGCAAGGGGTTTATAGGTCGCCCAAGTGAGCACAAAGGCATACGGAGCCTTTATAGGTGCAAGGATAAATACCTACACACCTCACCAAGATATATACTAGGCAAGGGGTTTTATAGGTGACCCAAGTGAGCACAATGGCCTGTGGAGCCTACACAGGTGCAAGGATAAACACCTACACACCTAACCAAGATATATACTAGGCAAGGGATTTATAGGTCACCCAAGTGTGCACAAGGACATATAGAGCCTACATAGGTGCAAGGATAAACACCTACACATCTCATCAAGATATATATACTAGGCAGGGGTTTTATAGGTGACCCAAAGTGAGCACATGGCCTGTGGAACCTACACAGGTGCAAAAATGATATTTTTTTCAACTTTTTTCCTGACATTCAAATCCCTACAAAACCAACACGTGGACTTGATTTTCAGTCCCTGTCTTTATTTGAGGTTAGGCCAAAAAAAAAATAATATTCGGTCTCTGGTCAGACCAAAGTTCCGGAATTGACGTGGGGACGCGGCTTTTTTTTTTTTTTTTTTTTTTTTTTTCTTCAAGCTTGGATTGTACAGACAAGGTGGGGTACTATTTTGCTTTTTTTGGTGTCCTCATGTACACTGGTGTCCTCCATTATTTGCCTTGGTACTCTCGATCATTTGCTTTGGTGCAATTTCCCATTCCTTGGTGCTCTTTGGTAAAAAAAATTGAGGAGGTGCGGCAATAGAGGGCGCTGTTGGAGCTACCGCGGAACATTTTGAAAAAAAAAAGATTGTCGCGCATGATTAAAATCGACGCGCGCGCTGACCAGAGACCGACTTATTTTTTTTTTGGCCTTACCCACATTTCTTTGTTTCATTGCAAGAAAGCAGTAAAATGTATTCCGTCGATCTGGACTGATGCCACCTAGAGAGTTTTGAGGCCTAGATTCTTACTTTGACTGGAGCGTTTGGTGATGGAGTCCGGCCGGTGGGAGCGGAACTGCTGGGCAATCTTCTCTCTCGTCGTCTGGTCCATTTCACTGCAGCAAAGAAAGGTTGGAAAATGAGTGGGTGGGACTTGTACAGCCAAATCACAAGCACTGTGAAAAAATGTACAAATGGGGAAAAGCTTCCACGATTTTTAAGTCTGTGTTGACAACATCTTACCCCATTGGCCTGGCTACATACAGCTCAACCTGCGGCTCGCTCTTCGACTCAAAGATGACGGTGTAAACCTCGTTAACATCTTTGCCTTGAAGGTTGTGGCCGTTCCACGACAAAACCTCATCCCCTGCACCAAAAACAAAGAAAAAAATTGAGAATTATGTTTAGTAATTCAATCATTACCACTTGAATTACCTTTGTAATAAACTGAATATTCAAATATTTGATAATCAAGTGAATATTTGAATAGCTTTTGACAGAAGTTGTTGGTACTTTGAAGGTACATTGGTACACTGTTTATTTCTGGTGACTTTTTTTTTCGTTTGAAGCAAGAAAATTGCTCCAAGTCTTAAGAAGGGTGCATAAACAGCAAATTTGTTGAAATTTCAGATCGGCGAGTACTATGTATTTGGAGAAAACAGAGAAAAAACGTATACAAAATTTTAGGCGTCTCAGAACTAGATTCCATTGCTAACACAAATAAGACCATCTTCAATAATTGTTTGTTTTCCGAATGATACCATTTCAGGCAGACTTACTACAGTAGATTGATAGTGATGGCATGAAATTTGGCACATAGTCAGAGTTTGTCATGGGAAAGATATTTGGCTATAGGGCCATCGCAGATTTGTCCTTTGAAAAAAATATCCTAGAGTAACAAGAAATTTTCAAAATTTTCAAAATGGTGGCCATTGCATGTTATTCTATTATTATTTTTTTTCAAAGGACAAATCTAGTATGGCCCTATAGCCAAATATATTTTTTTTTCCATGACATACTCTGATTGCCAAATTTCATGCATTTATCATCAAAATGAACAATTCCATCATATTGTGTACCAATCTGCCTCACTAACTAGATTCACAGGATATTTAGTTCCAATCGTATCTTCACTTTCAGCAAGGAAGGTATGTTTCCGGGTGATTGCAAATGTCTCTACATGTCTTTTTTACAAACTAAGACATCAGCATGATTTGCAGTGCCATATTTCAAAGTTCATGGGCCACATAGCTGCGCGATCCTCTGTCAGTATGGCCTTTTCTAGTTCATGACGTCCATCAACGCCGACATAAAGCGTCGTCCCGGAACAGCGCTCAGGCAATCGAGTCTGACATTTACGGTGCACATATACGCGCTTGATGTAATGTTACATGCCCACATATAACATTTTAATGAAGAAATTCATTATTGCCTGTCCCGTTTTGGCACAATGCACAAAATGACTTGGCTTTTAGGGAGATGAAAATTACACACAGGGGAAACAGGCGTGCACGGATTGCCAATGACATGATTATTTCCCCTTAATCAAACTGTCTTAAACTTGTCGTTCTCCTAGAGGAAGAACATTCCTTCAAGTGCAGATTTTGCACTAAAAAATAATGTTGTAAAATGTGGTTAAAATTTCTCGACTACATATTTTTCCACAAACCTTCCCACATAAGGATATCTGTAGGGTAGAACTTATATTTGAATTGACCGATCAAACATTTAGTCTTGATTTCGGAATAAAATAACATCACGATTTAGTAAAGTTGACTCTGATTGGCTGAGGCGCGAGATAGCATAAATCTGCAAGCTTAGATATCGTCACCGGTTTCACGAAGGGATGGGCATGTGGATTTTGAAGAACAACCATTTTCGAGATAATCGCAAGAGAAGTTTCTCCATTTTTAAAACTGCAAAAACTACTACTTTGCAACAACTTTATGCAATAAGGAAACCTTGATGCAATTCTTTGATAGGTAAACTTTAATTTGAACCCGGTAATTATAATTAATATAGTGGTTAAAAAGCCAAATTTAATTAGTAAAGATGCCCGTCCTTTCGTGAAAACAAAAATCTCACATTTCCACATTTATGCCCTTCTTCTTCAACGATCATAGGATCAAATCTCTGTTGACCTACTTTTACGCCTTTCTGTGCAATAGGTTTTGTATACGTTCAAGAGGCAGGCATGTTTGCGTCTCTTCGTGAAATCGCAAAATGCAATTAGCGAGATGCCAGCCCCTGGCGTCATTAATGTTATTCAGGAATTAATGATGTTTTGCTTACGGAAACATGTCAGAATGCTTAAATACCATGTTTTAAAGCAAAATTGTGAAAAAAAATGGAAATCGAAAAAATTGTCAATTTTGACATGCCCGTCCCTTCGTGAAACCGGTGACGATATATCAGATGTTAGACAGGAGACTGGGCTCCGTGGACAACAGGTGTTAAAAGGTGCCCACCTGCGCGGAGTTGACCGACCGTGTCGGCGATACTCCCCCGCTTGACCCGCGAGATGAACGCCCCCAGCTTGCCCGCCTCCTTCAGCTTGCCGCCCTTGACCTTCAACCCCAAGATGGCGCTGGAGTCCTGCGGGGCCGCGTTGTCCCCCTGGCTCTTCTTCAGGATCATGTGACCAATCAGCCGGTTGTTATCAAGGACGGGTGTCCACGTGACCGGGTGCTGAATATTCATGGGGGGAACAAAGTTGAGCAGGTCGATATTCAGCTCAAGTTTCGTATTTGAGTAAACTCACTGAATATTCATGACAGGATAGTTGGTTAGGTAAAAATCAGGTTAGTTTTGTTTTTAATGAATGAGGAATTAATATTATTAACCCTGACATCCCATTTTCTTGAGTACAACTGTTTGAAACACATGTACTAGTTATTTGAAGAGTTTATTTCTAAAACGCCATACATCCATTTGAAAAAAGTGAAAAAGTTGCATGGTTTTGAAAACTTATAGATAATACAGAGAATGACAGCTGTTTTTAAAGTACATTTTTTGTATTATTAAAATTGGGTTTAACTGTAAAACAACTGTAAAACAGCTGTCAAAACTGACTGTGATCAGCCAGGAGAGGGCAGCATTCTACAAGGTGACAAAATGGCGTTTATCGCGTTGTGGAAACAAACTCTTCATTTATTTCAGGACAAAAAAACCCCTGCCTAGCCCTTTCAAACAACAGAGGGTGCAAGTTTCATGAACTCAGGTTTAAATTTTTATGCCAACGTTACATTGGGTCCCGACCACTCATTGTTCTAGCCGCATTTTCCTTTGTTTTGTCAAGACAAAAAGGCAATGTTATAAATGATACTGTGTTCCATTATCACAAAGGGGTTCGCTCATAAGTCCGACGCCTCATAGGTCCGACACCTCATAAGTCCGAAATTTTGGACATATGAGGCATCGGACTTATGAGGCATCAGAATTATGAGGCATAACATTAATTTTTTCCACCTCATATGTCTGACGCCGCATAAGTCCAACGCCTCATAGCTCCGACGCCTCGTGAGTCCGAAACAGCGTTTGTCCATTGTTGGACATATGAGGCGTCGGATTTATGAGGCGTCGGACATATGAGGCGTAATGTATGCCTCATTAAGTCCGAAATTTCAGACTTAAGAGGCGTCGGACCTATGAGGCGTCAGACTTATGATACGGCTCCATCACAAAAAGCAATGATTTTGCAATTCATCAGAGTTTGTTATAATCCTTTTTATCCTTTCAAACTTTTGATGGTTGTAAAAAAGGACTTGCATGCTCTGTATAGTTTGAGGCCCAGAACTTTCAATTTCTGAAAGCACGTCACTGAGTGAGTGAAAATAAAAACCTCTATCAAATTCTGGAAGGCCAGAGGAGATAATGATAAACAAGGTTTAGTTTCCAGATGACTATGAGCTATCCCAGCACTCAGAACACAAATGTGACAAATGTGCTTTCAAAAGAAAAAAAAAAAAAATAGAAAAAAGGGGAAAAATATGAAATATTGATGACTCGTCTAGTCTACAAACTCAAATATAAATAGCAATTTGTAAATAATGAAAACGAAACAGACAAAAAAATATGGAGGTGGAAATGGAAAATGAAAAATGGGAGGTAAAAAAATTAATATTTCGACCACACTACAGCAGCAGGGCAGACGCATGCATGGCAACCCTCTCCATAGCAACAACGTATTTCAGCCAATGGCAACTAAGCACTGGTATCTATGGGATTTTTTCTTTTTACCCAGCATGCAGTGCACTGATGTCAAAGGTCGGTGTATAAAGGTGAACCCTCCTTTTATTTGTCTACGATTGTCAGATATGACAATCTTTCATTTTTTTAAAAATTAAATTGATATATTTAATTGTAATGTATCGTTTTCCATTGGAAAATTGTGAAAAGTTTCAAATAAATTTTGTAGAATTATTTGATGAAAACGTGTGACCTTTTTGACCCTTCAAATATTGAAGGTCAAATGGTTCATCATTTTTCTCTAATTATTTCTCCTTCATTTAACTAAGTTTATAAGGTCGGATTTTGATGACATGATTTTTTGACTGCAAAATCAGTTGTTGTTTTTTTAGTTATAATTAATAATTATTCGTGTGAGATTTGTTCAAAGTAATTTTTTTTTTTAAAGTTCAAAATACATGTAAATTCACCACACACATACGCATGCATTGAAAACTACAACAAGAACATTTCTACAGCACTGACAGTGATACTCAGATCAGCAAATTGGGAAAACCTAAACAGCTTATTCAACCAAATTCGTTAATACTTTAACGCTGATTTTTCTAATTATAATTGTTTTTAATTTGATTTATTTGTTTACATGTAAATTTACATGTATGTATTTCTTGGCTCTGAAGATGGAATGGGTTACCAGCCAAAAAAATGCAGTGAAAAAGCCTTTTGGCTGGTACCCAGCTGAATTTCACTAACAGGCATGCAACTTGGAATTTAGAAGGAAAAAAAAGGAAATTCCAAACCACACAAGACTTTGTACAGTATTTTCAATTTGTAATGGCATTCATAAGAAGTAAAAAACAAGGAAATCAGCGGATCCCAGGAAAAGTTGCATGCTTGCACTAAGCATAGTATGATAATTTTGCTAAGCGAAAATGTTTTCCAAAGATAAGCAGCCTAAAATATGCTTACTTTTTATCAAATACTTTACAGAATTCGCAATCTTTTCCAACTGTCAGTTTTCAATTACACTCAGGCATTTTATCTTCAAAAGAATTTTTTTTCCGTCAAGGATTTTAAGTGAATGGGTACTTCAAATTCCTAAATCCACAATGGCACTACTGCTGGATGCTGTTTCAACTTAATACTCTTGTAACATTGTGGAAACTTCCAAGAAATATTTTTGTTATTGTCAAAGTCAATATTAGCTAAATATTCAGTTCATCGAATCATTGATAAGAAGGTATTCTTAAAAATCTTTTTGTACATACTTATCGTAGAAAATGTACTCCTTTACACGTATGGGGAATATAAATAGGGACAATTTAATGGGAACTTTTTTTAGAAACTTTAGAATATTTTGCAAGGTAGAGTTCTTAGTTTTCCGCCGCTGCAAAATTTCAGATGGAGATTTCATAGATTCCGCATCATTCTAAATAATTATATGCATATATCTGGCAGCCATTAAAACGGACCGATAAATTATGGATGCCGTCGTATTTGCATAGTGAGTAATTGCGGTTTATCTGAGCGACACACCGCGCATGAATTTTTTATAGGCAGATAATCCCGATTGTTCGCGGAAGACGCCGGACCGCATCTGGCCTTGGCGTGCGCGTTCGTCTTGTGACGATTTTTTTAATTGGTAAAGCTGAAACGATACTCCTTCGCAGATGAAAAGAAAAACCCTCTTTTTAACTGCTTTTGCTGCTGTAATTGATGTCAAGTATCTTTCAAGCGAGGTGTTATACACATGTACAAAAAAACAGACATTTACTAGTTCGTGTGGCCAAGCAGCACCACAAAGTATCAATTTTTTTGTAAGCTTGGGGGGTGGGGGAGTTATAACTTTGATTTGAGTGTATAGTCTTTCATCACAGAATGAGCTCGGTGACATGTCTCGCTTGCGGTCACGCTGAACGTCTCGGAGGATTTCTGAGGGACATGAGATAAACTCGGTTGACACTATCCTTTCCGAGAATTTCAAGGAAATGAGGACGTGTGGGCCGAGTTGACAGGTTCGACTGTATCATATCAACAGCCCTGTTAATTTATGAACGTTTTTTTTTCTTTGTAACATTTGTCTTGCCGATGCTGTAAATTCAGAGTCACAAATTTCAAAATGGTAGCTAAATATCCATCAAATCTTACAATTTCATTTTCTCCATTCTTTTCCAAGCCTTCATGTACATTTATTAACGGGAAATCTCATACCAACATTTTGATTTTCTCTGTAATGTTTTGTCCATATTTATTTGAAAATAGACTACACCACACCAAACCTTTTCAACTGGCAAGTTTGGAACTAATGCCAGTGCTTGTCTGAATTTTTTTTTTCTTTTTCCGTTTTGTCTGTTAAATTTTTGTAGCACCATGAGCGCCTTTTGTTAGGTGGTTTTGTTAGGTTTTTTGGCTTGTTTTGTTTTGTTAGTTGCATCAGTTTTATCCTCTGTGGCCAACTTTGAATATATAAAATAATAAACCAAACACAAAATGAAACAATGTTGAAGCAAAAACAAAAACATGAAACACTTCTACACGTCACAGCCTTCAAAAAACAAGACAAGACGTATCTCTCCCAAAACAAAATACCAACAATCTTACGAAACGCAAACTATTTATTCCACTACACACATGAGTAAAGTGATGAATTTTGGCAAAAAGAAAAAAAAAATTCAAACTTCAAAATAAATTGAGTGATAAAATAAGAAGTGTATACTGATGCGAAGCCGCAAAGGGAAGGGGCAGTTTTCTAAGATTTTGTAAAATGAGTTTTAACAGAGATTAAATGGAATGCTTTTTAAACGTTCATCAGTTCCAAGGTTTTGACATTATGTCTAGTAACTTTTTTCAGGATACATGTGCATTAACTTTTTTGCGGGACATTGATAATATCAGCTCAAAATAGTACCTGCTGAAGATAATAAGTTGATATATTGATGTCAATATCGCAGTTTTAAGTCTGTTAAATTATGGTAATTTATTCCGCGGTCGAAGAGTTTACTGCATGCACGCCAAAAAAAAAAAATGAGTTCATATTTTAATATGATGAAAAAATGAGACAGTGTTGTGTTTTAATAAAAAAGTTTTTGTAGTTTACTAGAATTTCGTTTCCAGTGGAAACGAAATTGAGACTATAGTTGTTTATGGTGTGCTCTTTCTTAAGAAAAAACAAAATGGCAGCTTATTATACAATTTTTTTTGGTCACTCATGCATGCCGAAGGGAACATAAGGCTTACAGCGTCGCGCTCCGGTGGTTCGGTTTAATTACCAGTTGGTCTGGAAGGCGGTCACGGGCCAGCACTGATAAGCAAGAAGCGTGGCTGAAAATCAGCCGGTAAACCGTCACACGCAATGCACAACGCACAGCAATTTGGCCGGTAACCCTTCATGTGGTAATTAACCAATCACAGGCAATGCACAACGCGTAGAATTTTGGCTGGTTCCATCAGCTGGTAACCAATTACAGGCAATGCATAATGCACAGCATTTTGGTTGGTAACCCATCAGCTGGTAACCAATGACCGGCAATGCATAATACACAGCATTTTGGCTGGCAACCCATCAGTTGGTAACCAATGACTGGCAATGCATAATGCACAGCATTTTGGTTGGTAACCCATCAGCTGGTAACCAATCACAGGCAATGCACAACGCACAACATTTCGGCCGGCATTATTTTTGCTTTTAAAGGTTTTTTTTTTTTTTTTTTTTAATGTACATGTAGTTTGAAAACTGTGGTGGAGTTTGGATGTTTTTCAAATATGGTGTTGCATTAACAGTTGTTGCATTCACTTTGTGTCAACATTTGTTTTCAGTTGTATCAGTGTGGATAATTTATTACAATAATAAAACTGATGTTAAAGGATTTTACATATTTATGAAAAAAAATACATGAAAAAAAATGCATAATAGAAATTTAATTTTTTTTATCACTACCAAGAAATTTGAGGATTTATTAACAAAATTATAACACAAGTTCACAATTTATTTATTGAAATTTTTTTAACAATTTTGTTTTTGTTTTTTTGCGGGGCATTCCCATTGAATTTGTAACACGAACTGTTAGAATTTTTTACTGAATTCAAAGCACAAAGATTTTAGTGTACAATCCCCTTTTTGGGAGCGGCATCAATTCTCACCACACACATCATCATGCTTGCTATTAATACCGTTGCTGGGATGATGAAATATACAGCAGAAATGTTGAAAGCTAAAAAAAAATGCAAAATGCTGTCAGCCCACACACGGCACCCAGACAGCATAATGTGCGAGGCCACTTTGGGCTTGTATCCCTGGCAACCAAAATGGCCGACATCATTTTCCCCATAAACGCATCCCACCATCACTAAATGAAGCAAGTAGAAAAAAAAATCATCCCTTTTTTTTGTTTTTAAGCATTTATTGTTTAATCTCTTAAGCAAACGGAGCAGAATGTTCTTGTCTTGTGTTTTGTTTTGTTTTGTTTTGTTTTTTTGGGCCCCCACGCTGTCGAGAGCTAAGTCAAACAGCCTCCACCAAGCCCACTCTAAATGAAATGGGATATCCGGCCCATTTTGCATAATTCATCGCCGTCGTTAAATGCCAGTTTGCGTATGCGGGGTTTCGGGGGACGAGAGGCTTTTAAAGGGGCTCCGCGGAAGAGACAGCATTTGGGTTGTACCTGGTACAGTGGTAGTGTGGTTTTTGAAATTAGTGTTATAAGCTAAACTGTGGTCACCTTTAAAGGTGGCGTTTCAACCGAGATCTTCAGGAAAATAACAACAACCAGTTTATAAAGTGTACAAAAAAATTGGTTATACTCAGAATATTAGCAGGTTTTAAGTCCAAAGGACTTTTTTTGATAAAATATGGTTGAAAAAAATAAAAACAAAAGATTAATTTGGTCTAAGTGGTTTTGAAAAAAAAAATGGCGAAAAATATATTTCTTTTGAAGAAGTCCTGCTTTTTCAATTTTTCTTATTCTTCCTTATTCTTTAGATCGAACGTTTTATAGTCTTTTCTTGTTTCCGTTCTCATTGTACTCGAAGACAATAAATATAATTTTTGGGCTATTTTTTTAAGCATGTAGGTTATTGTCTACTGAAGTACATGTATCATTGTGCGATCGCAGTCCCAGAACTGTGACCAGCAACATGCTAATTCCACTGTCTATATAGCATGCCTTAACGTGTACATTTCTCAGTAATAATTTGTATGGACGCATGCCAATTTTGTGGGATAATGTACTTGAGTACATTATCAGCCATTTTGAAAAATAATAACGCATGCAAACATTGGCAAATGAGTAATGAGAATGCACACATGTACAATGTAAATTACAAATTTACTGGGTTTGAATTTTATCTTTGGCTGAATTTCAAAATGTTTTAACTTACTTCTGTGATGAAACAAATATCTGGTAATTTTTCTTATTAAACAGATGTATCTCACTTTTTATGTCCAAAAAGAATGTTTAAATTTGACTCAGTCCTTTTTATTAAAACCATGCATATTTTTAACCTGGTGCAAACATATTTATAAATAAAAAAGACGATTTCAAAATCTAGAAGCTCAATGCTCACACTAATTTTGATTCAGAATCAATTATGATAAACCTGCATGTACAATATAATTATAATAACTGTTATTTTTGTTTTTAGTATTTTGTAATGGAAATTATGACAAATTTAGTAGACTAAAGAGACACAGGGGGAAAAAAACGAACAAAAGTTTGGAAGAAAAGAATAAAAAATCACCTCGTTTGATAAAAGCATGCATTGTCACTACTCAAGATGGTGGCAATTATGCAATATGGTCATCAATTAAATTCTCCCAACGCGACGGTGCATTAGCAAGGACCCCCTTTTCATAGTTTGAAAGCACAGGGAATGGACAATGGACGGGGAGAAGTTGGGAGAACTGAGAATAAAACGCAAGTGGGGAGAGTGATACAAAGATGACAATTTTGTCGGTGTCGTACTTTGACCACAATTGTGGTGCCAGCGCGGTTTCCCATTAATGGACCCAAATTCGATTTAGAAAATCAAGTTTGACTCGCAAAATTTTCTGTTAATGTATAAAGTCTATGAATGGGCAAAATTTTCATCTATACACACATGTATACAATGTATATGATGGAAATTTTTTCCCCACAAATTTTCTTTTCAAGGGGGACAATAAAAAAAACCTGCAAATAATTAGATTTTGTACATGTGCTTGTATGATGTCCAATTGTACATTCGTATAATATTCTGTCTTAGACACACGATAACTATTTCACGTAAATACATGTATGCATAAAGACATGTACAACGCACATGTACTTTAATTAAAAGTGCATAATTTTAACATGTATCAGTTGATCAGAATAATAATTTGTTGCTATTTTTATATTTGGTTCAATTGTGTGTGTGTGAATTTTTACAAGTTTGTGGCACACAAAATTTACAGAATTTAAAATTTTAAATTTCATTACTGTATGTCCAATTTCTATGATAGGATTTGACCAGAAACTATGTACATGCATCATGCTGCGAAAACGCATGCCAAAATGCAAAAGGAACTAGAAATAAAAGGACATAATTATGTTACATGCAAATGTAATGAGAAGTGGAGAATGTGAAAATTGGTATGATGCTGAAGCAATGAAGGAAATGAGGTAAAATCGGAAGAGAGAAAAGTGCCAAACTTGCACGAGACATCATAAATATTGAATGGTAAAAGTAACTGCATCGACAACCAACTTGTGACTGAACCTCATACAGCAATATCCTTATCATTTGAGGCACGCATCAAACAGAACCTTGAACAGTTTAACCTCTGCATTCAGTTTGTGAGAATTGTCCCCTTGTCTACGAATTTAGGTTTAACCTCTATGAACCTCAAAGGTGTTTCTTTATGGCATTAACATGGAGTGCTAGAGTTAAGCAAAGTTGTGAACAGTGAAACCTCATCAGTCTTAGTATTGTCCTTGATATAAAATTGGTGAGGTTTTGGAGCCTTAGTAAAGTTGGTCAGAATACAATTGAGGTTTTGAGGGACAACCTGCTTCACCAACTAGTGAGGTGAACTTAGTATGCATCTATGTATGTATATTTCCCATAAATTAATGCAGTTGTGAGGTTTCCAACAGAGAGGTTTTTTACAGTGAGGTTTCAACAGTGAAGTTTCCAACAGTGAGGTTTTTAAAAGCGAGGTTTCAACAGGAAGGTTTTCAACAGTGAGGTTTCCAACAGTGAGGTTTCCAACAGTGAGGTGAGGTTTTCAACAGTGAGGCTTCCATCAGTGAGGTTTTCAACAGTGAGGTTTTTAACAGTGAGGTTTTCAACAGTGAGGTTTCCAACAGTACGATTTTCAACAGTGAGGTTTCCAACATTTGAGGTTTCCAACAGTGAGGTTTCCAACAGTGTGGTTTTAAACAGTGAGGTTTTAAACAGTGAGGTTTCCAAAATTTATGATTTTCAACAGTGTTTTCTACATGAAATTGATGAGGTACATGTATTATTCAAACAGTGCTTCCCTTACACATACATATTCTCTGGTAGACAGCTGCAGATCCTAGTTAGAATGCCCAATACCAGAATTTTGGAAGATGAAAAGTTTTTTTTTCATTCCTTGAACACGAGTCTTGACATTTATGATGTCTCTGGCACAAAAAGAAAACTGGAGGAGAAATGCAAATTGCAGGCAATAAAGAAGTCCAGAAAAAGTGCGAATATGAGTATTTTTTTTAATTCTACAAAATGGTCAAAATAATCATCAAACCCACTTTCACTAATCAACCAATGACAACATATTTTTCACACAACCTTCAATTTCTGCAAAGTTATAATCTGTCTGTAGGGGGGATCAGTTGGTATCCTGGTCATTCCTTTTAAACTCATTGGTTGATTTTAATGAAAATGGGTTCTTGAAGTGCTGGAAAACAACTAAGGTGTACAACGATTGTGTTTGTCTTTTACAGTCAAGAATGTGTGGATTTTGTAAATTACATGTATTTTGAATACGACTAGAGTATGAACACACAAAGTATTACTTTACTTCTAAAATACGAGAAAATTTTTGAGGAGGCAGGAACTCAGTCTAACCTTGGAAGCCAGACTATGCTCCTCGTTTAAGGTCGTACTGCTACCGGTATCCACCCCCGAATCCTTAATTTGCGGCTCGGACCATTCGGGATCTTCCTCCATGGACCGGCCCTCCCCCCGGCCAAAGCGAACAATTTTCTTTTTGGCGGCCGAGATCGCGAGCTCCGATTCCGAGTGGTGGTGCTCGGCGGGGTCCCCGCGCTCGAGGGCCCGGCTGCCATGCATGCTCTTATCCTTGCTGCTGTTACCCCCACTGGTCCCAATCTCAAGTTCACCCGAACCTGAGGTGGTTATCAGAGGGGTTGTTGGCAATGATCGGAAGAGCGGAGGGGGTAAAAAAAAATGAAAGAACGAAAGGAAAAAACAAAAAAAATGTACAAAAAGTTGCAACCACAGCATAGGTAACTTGGTCACATGAAAGTCTTTGTGGAATGGTTGCTAGAAATGTGAAAATTTGGCTTAGTTTGAGGGTTGGTATTCCTTTTAAAAGCTACCGGCAAGTTATACAATTTCTTCCACAAAAATTTTGTTTTTCATTCCAAACTATTTTCAAGTCCATCAGTATAGCTGGGTTCTTTGATAAAATGTTTTTAAAAACACACATAATCAACATGTGGCTTCAGGATACCTGACTGCATATTTTCACTTGTTCGTCCTAGCAACAATTAGCTTCACAAGAACTTTCACATCAATGAGGAAAAGAATATAAATACAATGTGGCGATGATTATTTCATGACATCATCATGACATCATCATCATCGTCACGTGATCTCACCAGCATCAGTGACGGTCCGTCCTGGTCATGTGACCACCGGTCCTCCCAGGCCTCCGGCTCTCCTGCATGTGACAAATCTATGGTGAATTGGAACTACCACACCATTTGGTGCTCAGGGTTTTGAGACAGTTTCTTTAAAATTTAAAACTGAAACTTCTTTTCTAATTTTATGGGACAGGGATGGACAAAATTTCTAAGTTGACTAAAAAATCTACAAAACTGTTTGAAATTGTATGGCCCATGAACTTTTAAGCCAAATAAAAAAAAAATTGTTTCTTGTCCCCGTCCACTTCCTTTAATAATATATTTTGTCTTTTTACTTGTTTCCAACAAAACTCTACGTATGCAAGTTTAAAATCTGGTAGAAAGGGTGATGGCTCCTTCAGACACAACAACTATCAGCAAAAGAGTCAAGAAAATGGAAGAATCCAACCGCCATCTTGGAAAATCCACCATCTTTGGGAAAAAAGGGTCACCTCCATTTAAAAGTTGGATGAGAAACAATATTTTTTGTTTAATTGGCCTTATTGCCATTTTCAAGGATACTTCATGAACTTTGCAGCAATTTTTTTTTTTAGTTTTATGTAAATCTCAGGATTTGCATATTCATGAATAAAGAAGTGTCAATGTGACACGTCACCATATCTACTGCACAAGTTTGGACATAGCTCCAAAATTGAAATTTTGCAAGCTGCGAACTGCCAATTTTGCCAAGATTTTCTCTGCTGTTGCACTGAAATTGCGGTGCAACAAAATTGTCTGAAAACAGGCTGCACCTGCTCAACATGACAGCAAACAGATTATTTGTGTCAAATATACAAAAAAACAGACGTCTCCTTTTGGGTTGAAAGTCCTGATTGGAACTTTGACACATTCTGAGTTGTCTGGGTAAAATCTAAAATTTATCTTATTAAAAAAAAAACCACAGGAATCACAACCAAAATTGTGCATTAACAAATTTTAACACAGTGCAGTTCTTCATAAGTATAAAAAAATGCAGTATTTTCTTTCCTTCAGGATATTTTCTTTGCTCTAAAAATACAAATCATCACTTGTTTGTGATTCAAACACTGAATACTAAATTAAACTGTTGTACAGGATGATGCAAAAAAAGGAAAACCCACTTTTGACAGGAATTTTAACCATTTATTTAACTTTTTTTAACTTTCTTTTTATAATGTAGTGAAGAAGAGCTCAACCATACGTGATGAAAAAATCTTTAAAAAAAATCGTTAGAATAGTGTTAATTTTATGCTTATTTGAATACAAGTCACCAAAATCACTGTTGTCCATGTGAGCAATGCATGTTAGTCTAGCGAGGTGGTTTTTGTCTTCAAATCAAGCTCCGGAGCTCAGTCAAGCAGATGGAATAAAGTCGTCCGTGGACAAACAGCTTTGGCGCATTTTTAAACTCAGAAACTCATTTGCAATCATTTTTTCTTCACTTATGTTTAAAGATCAATATTTTAAAACCATTAAATTGAAGTTTTGAAATATGCTCAACAAGTCGGTAAAAAATGCTGTCAAAAGTGGGTTTCCTTCTTTTTGCACCACCCTGTACAACACCAAAACTTTCACCCAAATGATGAGTGGCATTTCTGTAGCAAAAGAGGATAGAATTCTTGGCAAGGTGGATTTTTTCATTGTAAAATTCTGACTAGTCCATGACAAGGGAACTTGGCTTTTTCTTTGCAGAAAATGAAGGGAAAAAAAGAGAGAAAAGAAATGATTCGGGGATTTAAGAGCAAAATGTCAAAGCCCTAGTGTCCATCTTACTTATTCAAGTTTTTTGTGTGTGATTCTTGCAGAATTCAACAAGGCTTTTTGTTTCTTTTCCTTGGGATTTCTCATCATCATCGAAAGCACCTGTTGAGCAAAACTTGTGGGCCGGCATGGAAGCAACGACCGCACGTGGGCAGTTACCATTCATGATCCTGCTGGCAAGGTCCCAGGATAGGACATTTGTGGGCAGATATAAGGTTAGGGGTCGAGAATACAATGAAAAATGATCTTGATTTGAGGATTTTTTTTCACAAAAAAAATTGCACTTTTCAGAATGAGAACATTGCTTTGGGGAATAACAAGGATTTCATTTTCATGTACATTAGTTTTGACGAAAGGTACCTTGTAGGTGGGAGGCGATTTTAAGATGGCGTTGTAGGGGTGGTCGTGAATTTCTTCCTGGGCACCAATTTCGTGAAGTGGAAAATTCTGCTCAGCAAATTTTTGTGCTAAGCCAATTTTCAGCGGGGAACCAGTCACAAAACCACTTTGCATCGCATGTAATCTTAGCTGGTGACCTTCTTCCACTAAGCAAATATTTTTTGTGCTTAGCAAATTTCACAGCTTAGCATCTCCGTAAAACTGGTTTCAGTTTTTTTTTTTTCTCAAAAATTGGTAAATTTGTCTGGTAAAGATTTCACTGACTATTGGGGAACTTCTTTGACAGTAGCCATCGAAACATCTTTCCTGATACAATTTTCGTTGAAAAGTGAGCAAAAGAAATGAAATCCACAAACCTCTCTCGCTGACACTTTCACTTTCTATCTCTCCCTCTTCGCAGCTGGTGTACTCCGGGGTCGACCGGATTTCCTCCTCAGAGCTACTCAGGGAGAACTGCCTCCGCTTCCGTGATCCCTTGGTCTTGTGGGGCTTCGGCGGCGGAGGCCGGACGCATTCGCTCTGGTCCGAGCTCAGCGAGTCGGCCCTGATCATGGAATCGGCCTTATTGTTCCTGGTCAACGCTTCTTGCTTGTTGGTCTTGGTTGCCGCCGAGCTGGGGTCCAGGTGTTGTTTCTGGCCCAACTCCGGCAGGCGACCGGCAGCACCATAAGATTCGGCTAGGAGGAGTCGCTCCCGCTGCGCATCCACGTCCTCGACGGTGATGCTGTGTCGCGGCGAGCTGCCGGGCCGTTTGGTCGGCAGGGGCTCCTGGGGGTATTGCGTGGGCACACCGCGCCGGTACTCCTCACTGTAACGCTCCTCGTTCCTCGGCGAGGTCCGCTTGGAATCGCCGGGGCTGCGGTCCCGCTCGCGCCGGGCTCGAGATACACGACGCTCACTCGGATGGCGCTCAAACTCACGGGGCTCCATCTGGGCGCCGACACCTTCCCGGCGTTCAGGCACGTCCCTGCGATCCATCTCCCGCCGGTCTGAAATCTCCCGGTGGTCCACTTCCCTGCGGTCAATTTCCCTTTGATCGATGTCCCTGCGTTCGCGATCCGATCCAGCGTGCTCCACGTAACGTTCGTGCGGGTACTGTGGTGATGGCGGGTCGTCCCCGTACATCCTCCGCTGACGATCCAGAGTTCTACCACTCACCTGACGCACTAATGGTTCCTTCATGTAATTGCGTCCTCGCTCGTGATCTCCTGCATAATACCTCTCCTCCGCATATCCATGCCTGTCAGGACTTTCGTATCCATGGCTGAATCTGTCACGGTCTCTTTCTCGTTCGTGGTCGGGGTACCTCCCATGATCCCGTACGTGATCTTGGTTCTTAAACCTCCTGGGATCCTGCTCCGGGAAGTGTTCGCGCTCGCGTTCCCGCCCAGCGTATTTTGCCGGGTCCCGCCCGTGACGCTCCGTCATCGTCGTGCGCTCGCTGCTGGTGGAGCGGTCCCGATCTGGCGTCCTATCCCGCATGGAGTACCGCGACTCCCGCCGGCGATCCTGGAAATGCCCGTCGCTTGAGGGATCATAGTTGGGATCGTTCCGCACATTGTGCGTCCGCTCGTCGTGGCCCGACCTCTTCCCGGGCTCTCGACTGTGAGTCCGGTGCACGGGTTTAGAGTTGGTCTGGGGATGCGGCGACTCGGACTCCTCGTTCTTGGACAGCTGGCGGGTGAGTTGGCTGTGCGGCGTCGTAGAGCGCGGCCGGGCCGGCTGCACGGCACCCAGGTTCTCCTTATTGTTGTTATTACTTGGCTTAGCACTGTGAAGAATTTGTTCCGTTTGGGGCTTGATGATTTGCTGCTGCGGCTGTTGTCCGTCTTTGGCCGACTGCGGCGTTTGCGGTTTGCTGCCCCCGTCTGGCGTCTGTGCGGCATTGGTGATGTCTAGGCTTTGCGGTTTGCCCTGCCGGCCGTGGTACCATTGTCCAGTTTTGGTGAGAAATTCCTGTTTCTTGCGACATAGCTTACACACCCATAAAACCTGGCACAAAAATTGTAGGGAGAGAAAAAGACATTATCTCTAAGCATACTTTTGGACTATGACCATATAAGCTTGAAGTATCTTTCAAGTATGCGTCTAATAAATCAGCATTATGCCCCCGTTCGTCAAATTGGTACTCTGACTTGTTCAAATGCATTTCACAGTTTTAAACTTTGGTTCTCCAGACTAGCGACACAGTTGCAGGGCAATTTTGCAATACAGTAGGACCAAAACAACATTGGAAGAGGTTGTCGATTTTTTGGGGTTTTTAGGTGAACCCCAATTTGTGAGCCATCCCCTACCTTTCTCCAATTGTTTCTTAAAAGAATCTCAATCATCTGTAAACATGTTTAAAACTATTTAAGTTGCCCTTTTTCCTGTCCACAACTTTTTTTGGGAAAAAACATGAAACCACAAGATATAAATTACAACAAAGTGCTCATCTTCAAATCAGCTGGTGATCTGTGTTTTCATAAATTAACCCTCCTATGCAAACATACATTCTGTGCCAAGTAGTCCTTTCAGTCAAAATCAATCAAGTGACTGTTTTCAACAGCTAAGAGCTCCCAGCCTACATAAAGCAGGATTGAATGGCTGTGACAGTTTATGTAACTTGATGCAGCTATGCCTTGACTGACAGTGATTGATCATTGATAAGCCAGCTGTGCTTGTTTTTGTCTATTGACTGAATTTGACTAGTCACAGTGCTTGCTTGAAATATGATCTGACTGTTGGTGACTAGCCTGTGTAAAAAAGGCATGAAAGGGAAGATGGTTGATTTTTTGACTCTCTGTGACTGTTCAAACAGCAGGAGGGTTCATAAACTCAGCACCCCCAAGTGTTGTATACCGTTGGAAAACACTCGTTATGCTGAATCCAGAAATACGATTATCTCAATTTTTTTTTTTAGATCTGATTTTAAATTTTTTTGGGCTCGTTTTGTGGTGACACATCACATAATGTATTTTGTGTCTCTATCTCCCATAATTTTTCACTTTTGTCAGTCACTCCCACTTATCAAACACAAGCTGCAATTAGTGCACACACCGATTACACTAATAGTCCAATACTTCCTCACACCACAAATAAGAAGGGATAAAAGGGGGGGGGGGGCAAAGCCTGTTACTTAACAATGCGTGGGCTCGCTAATTCCCCCGGAAATGATTTTTTTTCTCTCTTAAGATGACAAAGTTCAGTGACAGGAGAAAGGTAGACATACATGAGTGCTTCAGCAAAAAAGAACAGAAAAAAAGGGATTGGCTGAGTGATTACATGTATATCATAATCGATATCAATATTAAAATCAACATTTCGCTGAGTGTTATACATGTATATATCATAATCGATATCAATATTATAATCAACATTAAAATTGATATTATTGTAAATATCAATAATAACAGCAGATTTATATCAAGGGAGATTAATTAATTAATTAAGTAATTTTCAAAAATGGATGGATTTGGGGGTTAGTATTGTATAGCAAATATTGTTACATCTCCTGTTTTGTGTTCATAGATGCTGGAAAAACCAAGGTTAGCTTTTTATAGTAAATATTGTTACACTGACCTGTTTAAAGTTTTGTGTTCATAGATGCTGGAAAAACCAAGAAAAAAATGCTGTTCTTGAAGTCTGGTTCCCAAACCCTTCTTCAGACGAAACGGAGCAATTTATATACATCTGTGAATTGTTAGGTTAGGGAACCAGACTAGCCGGCTTGCACCTGTTCATGGATGTTGAACCGATTGCATCACAAAATGTGAACTAACTAAATTTGGTAAATCGGGGGCAGTATTTGAAAAAAGTCGGGTTTTTTTCCAACGATGGGCGGCGGACCATCGTTGGAAATTGATACACATACACAAATTCCACTTTTCTTGAAAATGACAGCACACCAGGTGCCATGATTTCACAGGACGCTTGAGACTATTATTCCCTTACAGTCAATAAGGTATTTCACAATAATTTGGTGGTTTTGCTTTTTGATGTTTGCAAATGTTGTATATTACCTATAGTAGATTGTAACGAAATGGAATTTAAACACTGATGCTGATTTTTTTCGTTTTGTTACTTTTTCATTTCAAAAATAATCTCTAGTTTACACATGAGCACATTACTGAGCAAAAACATGAACCATAATCAATTGTCTGTAAGAAGCAATCGACATGCCCGGCACCATCGCCCAGCCTTCCATGAAGTATTACGAAAAGGTTCAACATCGTCACGACTTCGCAAGTAGCAGCAGAGTGCACGCCGCAGTGTGTGGCAAGCCGGCCACGACGCGCACAGCGCAGCGACGACATCAATCAACCAAGAGTTAATTAAGAGCATGACAGTTAAAACAATACGGGCTAATTAGAATCGGTTCTCCACCTTACTCTCCGAAATGCGGCAGCGTGACAGGTTGGCAGCGTTAGTCACACTGGGTTTAACCGGAAGTGAAAATTCATCAGCATTAGAAGCACTTTACATTTTTTACAAATGTCCCACTTAAAATGTCCCTTCAGCTACAATGTACATCTACTGTATCTCCATCTAAATGTCTCGAGAACAAATGTAATTCTTCCAGCTTACAATTTCAAATTTCTGCCTGATGTATCACCAAAAAAGGCCTTGGAGTGAATTGCCGAGAACTGATCCGATACGTGCCATTAATATTTCAGACGTGTGATTCATTTTGAATATTCTACACCGTACCACGTCGACAGTTTGAAAGTGTGTGACCCCGTTACAGCGTACACGTACACTGTACCATAACCACGATTCTCACATCTTCACTGGGATACTTGTACATGTACGTACATAAACATGCATGGATCTATAAATTTAGGGTCCAACGTGTGACATTTTTCCTGTCCCTGCTACCGTACCAAGATACTTTGTAATTTGTCTTTCAAGGACATTATAACATTAAGAATGACTTTGAATTATTTTCAATTTAGTTCTTGTCTTTATTATTATTTTTACCACATTTCAAGAAAATACCATTAGAATGTCCATCTCTAAAATTAAATATAACATGTACGAATACACTTTTACATTCTTTTTGGAAAGAATGTAGTACATGTACATGTATCTACATTTTGTAGACGCCACTTCTTTGGTTGTGTACAAAGTCTATGGAGAGTCGAGTGCGTTTCCAAAGTATTTTGTAACAAAATTTGAAATGTTTCTCAGTCCCAGGTTCATGTTTTTTTAACATTTTTGCAATGACTGACCTTCCAATTAAGATAATATATAATGAAAAAATGGCGTCAGGATGCAACATTCTTTCCTTTTTTGTAATTTAAATGATGTGGAAGGCGTAGTGTGCTATTCATAATCACTCTTGGAGGATGACTGCATTAAGGAGTGCATCGGAATTACAAAATCATAGATGTCAGATGTATTAAACAGGGACGGGAAAAAAGTGGACCCCAAATTTATTGAATTACCCACGTAGATGTATACAGGGCGAGTCAAAAATAACCAAACCCAAATGTCGGGACCATTGTTTTAGTGAAGTTCTGCATGTAGCACTTTCAAAATCTAGGATATGAAAGCCCAATTCATAAGCTTTCTTTTAGTACAAGAAAAATTCAAATCACTCATGTACTTTTCAAGTTACGGAGTTTTAAACACAACCACCATTTTAAAGTTCTGTTAACGGATCGCAAAAAAGGTGTGCGTTCTTTCAGCAAAACAATTCACACACATCCTTATGTGATTTCTTTTCGTTTTGCTGAAAGAACACTGAACTTTTTGTAATCTGTGGACAGAACCTTAAAACGGCAGTTGTGTTTAAAAATCTGTGACTTGAAAAGTACATTATGAGCGATTTGAATGATTCTTATACTAAAAATATAATTATGAATTGGGCTTTCATATCCTAGATTTTGAAAGTGCTACATGCAGAGCTTCACTAAAACAATGGTCCAGACATTTGGGTTTTTTTCTTTTTTTTACTCACCCTGTACATGTACATGTACGTACATGTACATTGTAGGCCATTAGACAACTGTTTAGTGTTATGCAAAATTCATGGATAGGGAGAAACACTGTACTCTGATGAATTAGTTAACGAGGGCTAATTAGCAATATTCTGCCTTGCTGCGACTGACCTTTTGTTTCGCCATTAGTGGCTCATGAATTATGGAGTTCAACCTTCAATATTACTTTCGTCACTGATCATGCTGATGACAGTACATGGACAAGTACATGTACTCTAGATGCAGGATGAAGTACATGTAAACAAATATGAAGTGCAATTAAAGATATAGTCCATCATTTGTAATTTGTGCATTTTGTTCGTTTGAAGCTAAAAAAGTGTTCAAAATCTAATGAAGGATACTGAACAACTAACCTGATGAAGTTTTAGCTCAGCTTCAGCTGTATATTCTGAGAAAAACAGCATTCTAGGATCTCAATTTCAAATCAAAAGTTGCTGAATCATGTTTTGAATTGTTTTGAATTGCAGCTAAACGCGATGTCGCGCACTGATCCGACGAATTATAGCAACTGCGCGCGCCTGTGCGTCGTGCCAATGCTTGCGTGTGCTGCGCCGAATAACAAAACGAACTACTAATTTAAATTTTCCTACGGTGCGTCTTAAGACGCACCGTTGGAAAGGCCTTCTTTCGTAGATTACTTCAAAATGACAGCTTGCCAGAAAGAATAATTTCACAGGGAGTTTAGTCCACTTACTATCTTGCAACCAAGTATGTTTTTCAACAACAATACGCCAGTTACTTTTTCGGATGGCTGCAAATGATGGACTATACAATGTAGCTTTAAAGGCACATAGGATCATTTGCAATTATCCCAAAAGTCACTAACGAAATTATTATCAAAAAGCTATTACTTGGATTAAAGATCGCATTGGTAAGTAAACACCCCCTGAAATGATTCCATCTGGCTTGCTGTCATTTAGAAGAAGTCAAGTTTCGTGATCAAAAAGTTGTGCATGGTTTTCTTAAAAGTATAAATATCCACCGAGCTGAAACCTCAACCTGTTAGGTTTT